TAGATTTAATTAATTATATCTCAATTTTCACACGAGGGCCTACACCAAATTTGTTTCGGCTGCTCAATTGATTTTAACAATAATATGTTTATAGTCTCTGAAATAAAGATCTACACAAAATATAAATGCAAATACATGTGTTCTAACTTATAAAACTCTTTTCTGTATTGATAAACAAGGTAGGTTTACTTTTAATTGTAACTGTTATGAGATAGATATAGCTCTAAATGTTCTCCTGGACAACATCTATGTAAGTTGTTTCGGCAATACAGTTTATCGACAGGTTGTGCGTCTTCCTATGGGCACCCATTGCGTCTCTACAATAGCAGACTGTTTTCTGTATTGTCAGTGATTGTTATTAATCACAGTTAAGGTAGATGGGGGTTCTTAATTAAAATCAATAGAATTTTTTAATAACTTGACAAAATGTAGTTTATATGATGGCTTTCTTAAATATATAATAAAAAGTATGGATCATGGGGCTTTTTTTTCAAGCTACATGTTGTGCAAAATTGTCAGATGTTGTGTAAATTATTCATGGGAAAACACAATTTTGGGTGATAGAAAGAAAACTAAACCATAGAATTGTAAGATAAAATATAAGAAGATAGCTCTTATAATGGGCTTTCAAAATAGAGATAGAAACATTAGGGTCACGGGACTCTCTTTCTTGCTACAAAACAAAATAGGTGATTTCATAACACATTCCAGTATAAAAGTTACATTATCTGAGTTTTATCCACCTATATGACAAAGTTGAAAAAATTGAATCAAACAAAATATATTCTGTATTTGTAGAAACAGACGCAAAAATATGATAAAACACATAATTTTCTTCATTCAGATGAAAAGTCTAACACATGAATGACATTCTTCTTCCAAAATTTGTAAATTTCATTAAAGATCGAGACCCGATTGTTTAATTTCTGCTTGTTTACAGTCCAAGATGGCGGAAAACACCCGTGCTACCTTAATGACCAAACTTAGCAAGGATACTAGGTCTAAATTACATTTAATAGAAAAATTTAGACAGCAATTTGGTGTTCGCATATTGCTTCTTAATTAAGAGTAATTGAAGCTTTCGAACAGTAAGTTTCAGCCATGTGGGTTTGTTCAATTTCCGACGTACGATTCATATCCGTTCCTTATATGCTTCGCAATACTCCAATTAAACTTTTTCTTTTGGGGTTGGTAGAAAAGAAGTAATCCAAAAAAGATATTGGAAAGTTCATAGAATCATGTACATAACAGTGTAGCCGAGACCATTGATTGGCGCGCTAAAATATCCCATTGACTGGGTCAGATTAGGTGAACGTTCGTCTGTAACGCCCAAAACTCACGACGTATTTATTATAGACATTTAAACTGTGAGGTCACCAAAGGGTCTCAACGCCTAAATAAAATAATTCGAAAAACTAATCAGGAATAACCTTTGTGTTTTGATTTATATTGAATACTTACACTGAACTGCGGCCAAGCTTAGTGAAAGGTCGTGCAACATAATCAGTCAAACAAACTTTATTAGATTAACTCGTTAAGGAACGATCGTTTTCATTGGTCAATTCAAACCTTCGACCTCACACCTGCGAAAATAGAACACGCGTACTAAAAAGCTGAATGGACTGATCAGTATTCACGTAGCCGGTCAAGGTCGTTAAAAACTTCCATCTTCGTATTCCCGAACATGATTGTGTTCTTGATTATCCCATGGCAATTCTAGCTTTTATACATGTGCATGTAAAATTTTAAACTTTAATCTTAACAGTCACGTCGAAATATTTAATTCAACTGTCTCCTCTCAATTGGTCCTTGATTAAGGGAGCTACCATTATATTTTGATTTGGGGTGAAGGACTTGGATGAAACATTTTGTCCTGCATTTTTTTTAGTTGTTATCTCTGTCCTGTCTTTCTATTTTTCAGTCCGTTAGGTCCTGACTATATTTATTCGTTTATCCTGATTTTTTACATAAATCGTCATCCTGCCTTTTTTTTTGTCAAGTTGCTCACCCTGCCTTATCTTTTATTCAATGGACTTGATGAATTAACGTTGTACTTGAAATGAAACCGTACTTAACTACAAAAATAACCAAATTACATACTAAAGATATTGCTCGATTTTCATAGTAAATGGGTTTGTGTTATAAACTGTCATGTTCATTACTTATATTCTTTCATAAGTTTTAGGATAGTGTGATTTTTTTTCTGATTTAGTTTACTTGATTTTGAAAAAAAAATCCCGAAATTCTAAGTAAATTCAGAACATGTAACCAGCCATGCTTTGTTTAGAGAAAAAATGGAGATGGCAAACCATGGCACAGTGGAAGGAAATGTACTTTATAAACTCCAGCGATATACTTTCTTAATTTATAATTAACAGTTTTGCTATCCTCGGTTGAAAATTATACATTGTAAATATTTAAATAGTTGCATAGAAAACAATCAGTTTTAAACAGTGTGGTTATTCACTAAATGTATTGATAAAAGGTGACTCCATTTTTGTACATACTTTTACAGTAGTCATCCTTAGTTTCTTAATATTTCGTTTATAAGTTTATCATACATGTATGATTTTGTATTTCATGCCACACGTTACTTTGGCGGATAGTTCAACAATGTTATGCAAAGCTCTATTCTTACGGTATGAAATTAAAGGATAAATTTTCAACCAATTAAAATCGAAAACAGTACATTTATATAGTTCCTTATAAACTACGACATTTCTCACAAGTATTTATTTATTTTTTAGTTCCACACATGCAAAAATAAAGTCTTCGCCGATGAAACATTTCAAACCTTTTTACACCAACATGCCTTCACTGAATTCATTTGAATTTCGTGGTGACCATGATAGTACATTGCATAGTACATCTATATTCACGTGCACACATGGTACGATCTTTCGGGGACAATTTGCTCGTTTATGACACGTCATTTCTGAATGACCAAACGCTTAGCTACTTTATTTTCGTTTTATAGCATGAAAACAATAAAAGAGGAATGTGCAACCCATCATAAATTTGAAGTGGATCAGTATTATGAGATCCATCATAAGTAACTACGACACTGTCAGGATAATAACCTAGCGTCAATATGAAAGAAATTAAAGTGGTTCATACATTCATCCGTATAAAAGCGGCACATGTATTTTATTTTATCCTTATATTTTTCATAGTGCGGTACAAGTGCTGCGTGCATAAAGAATATTACTTAACACAAATTATTAGTATAATATTTCAACCCCACTATTTGAAATTCACAAAATACTTATTTAATTATTTCGACCAAAAATCATTGTTTTTTACGTTCGTAGTAACGTAGTACATTCCATTGTCGGTCACCTGTGTCAATTCACGTGCACACAACAACTGTTGTTGTATTTAAATCGTTCGGCCAATGAAATGAGACGTTACAAGTTGTTTGTTTGTGATACGCCAGAATGTTATCAATGAATTATCAATCGCTAAACTTGACTGCATTTCAGTGTAAACGTTCTTTACTTGTGTTTTCGTTATGTTTTAATAATCAATTTTTATGATATCGCACGTTCTTTCCGCAAAAAAAAAAAAGGATTTAACTGGCTTTAAAAGTTAGAATGCATGTGTTGACTATTATCTTTTTTTTCGGACGTCAAAGCGATTTAACAATTGCGGTTGCATGTCCAATTATGTCATCTTTTAACTTTTTTCTGTTCAAAATTTTATTTTAGAACGAATGCATGATCAACTTTAAAAAGTGTGCGTACACAAAACATATAGACAAAATATACTTCTGTCCTGTCTTTTTCGTACTTGCAAGTTATTAGGCAATAAAAAGGCTATTTGGATCAAGCCTTGTGGAATTTGCATTTACGTTTTTGAATAGGTAAAATGTATTGTTTGGTGAACTTTTCTGCTAACTACTATACTTGTGAAAAACCCTTGGCAACAGAAACATTTTCAGCCTTTTTTTTAATCGACCCAATTTACATAGTAATGGACGACTTCGTACATTTTATGATCGCAAATAAAATATGTATATAATATACTGTGCATTGTAGTTCGTATATATACTGAAACCCTTTGGCAACCCCACAGTTTAAATGTTTATAATAAATACGTCGTGAGTTGTGGGCGTTACAGACGAACGTTCACCTAATCTGACCCAGTCAATGGGATATTTTAGCGCGCCAATCAATGGTCTCGCCTACACTGTTTTGCACATGATTCTATTTAGTGTAGTGTTTTGTAGTATGGAGCAGAACGAATATGAAATCTGTGCCGACGATTGGGATAGGGATTAGCTAGAAAAATAATAACATCTTCAAAATACCATAATCGGTCCTTATAAGTGAGATGAACAACTTTTAACAGACTGCTATCTGTATTCCATTTTCAACAACTTGTTATAGGACGAAAACATACGATGAAACCAGACTTGAGACAAGCATCAAAAGGTGTCAGGGTTAAAAAAATGTATTATATTTTTTTTAATCTCTATCCGTGATATTGCAAAATATAAATATAATTATTAGTATACACGTACATGTATAATCAGTTCAGCAATTTTGGTATCAAATTCGGCAGATTTCAAGGGTACAAATCAAAATATACAAAATAATTCTGCTCCATAGAATGTTCATATTAATTGAAGGCAAGAACAAACTATGTTATCTGTTGACATATAAATTAAACTTCATATCGTTTGCGTATTCAAAAACAAAATGACATTTTCATGTTGTCCTTCTAATATCGGCCGCTGTACTTCAGAGTAGATGTTGTACATTAACAAATAACCAAATACATGTAAGCACATGAATCATCTTTTAGCCAGTGCTTCCAAAGAACCATTGCTGATCTTTATACAAGACCTACTATCCCCGATAATCTATTAATGAATGCATACAATGTAATTACGGTTTCATGATACAGTCCGCACGAATATTTATCTCGACGAATCGAGTTACGGTGGTGATTTACTTACATCGAATGAAAGTGAGGTTATCAGAGTTAAGACAGGACTTTTAATTTGAGGGATTTAACGAACAGTTACGACGTTTTGGAATAGACGGATAATGATAATTTTTACATTTTTCATTCCACTATATTTTTTCGTTTATTTACAAACAACCGATGGTAAGTTTAATACATTTTTTTTACCATGTCATCAAATAAAATGCATGTGTAAGAATTTATTCAAATAAAAAGGCAATCTAATAAGTAAAGCGATAAAATAAAATTTTAATAGACTTATTTAAAATACTATGTCATTTAGAATAGAAGTATAACATTTTTTATTATACAATTCATCTAAAATATATGGATTTCGTTTTTTATTTAACAATTCTATCACATTTTTTTTTCATTATCATCTATTTGATATATTTACTTTATACTGATAGGGTAAACAAGTGATGATGAACCAATTATTCTTGTATTTTTTTGTATAGCAGCGTAGTCAATTTCGTTACGTCTTTTATTTTTTAAATTTCAACTTAGCAGCATGTATTTCTTGATTATCATAGAGCTTTTTATATTTATGGTACCTAAATGTAATATATTTCATGGAATTTTTTATATTTTTTAAAAACATTTCTCAAACCTCCGCTTTCCTATCACTTTTTTTTTTCTAGGTAAAATACGGCGTTAACAGTTTTACAATTTCTTATAACAATAATGCATTAACAAAATGTGAGACAAATTTCGTAATTACAAAAATTGGGAATCTTTGACGGCAAAATAATACAGAATAAAGCTTAAGAGTTATAAGGAAATAAACCACATTTTGCATATTCAAAATCTCTAGATTTAATTAATTATATTTCAATTTTCACACGAGGGCCTACACCAAATTTGTTTCGGCTGCTCAATTGATTTTAACAATAATATGTTTATAGTCTCTGAAATAAAGATCTACACAAAATATAAATGCAAATACATGTGTTCTAACTTATAAAACTCTTTTCTGTATTGATAAACAAGGTAGGTTTACTTTTAATTGTAACTGTTATGAGATAGATATAGCTCTAAATGTTCTCCTGGACAACATCTATGTAAGTTGTTTCGGCAATACAGTTTATCGACAGGTTGTGCGTCTTCCTATGGGCACCCATTGCGTCTCTACAATAGCAGACTGTTTTCTGTATTGTCAGTGATTGTTATTAATCACAGTTAAGGTAGATGGGGGTTCTTAATTAAAATCAATAGAATTTTTTAATAACTTGACAAAATGTAGTTTATATGATGGCTTTCTTAAATATATAATAAAAAGTATGGATCATGGGGCTTTTTTTTCAAGCTACATGTTGTGCAAAATTGTCAGATGTTGTGTAAATTATTCATGGGAAAACACAATTTTGGGTGATAGAAAGAAAACTAAACCATAGAATTGTAAGATAAAATATAAGAAGATAGCTCTTATAATGGGCTTTCAAAATAGAGATAGAAACATTAGGGTCACGGGACTCTCTTTCTTGCTACAAAACAAAATAGGTGATTTCATAACACATTCCAGTATAAAAGTTACATTATCTGAGTTTTATCCACCTATATGACAAAGTTGAAAAAATTGAATCAAACAAAATATATTCTGTATTTGTAGAAACAGACGCAAAAATATGATAAAACACATAATTTTCTTCATTCAGATGAAAAGTCTAACACATGAATGACATTCTTCTTCCAAAATTTGTAAATTTCATTAAAGATCGAGACCCGATTGTTTAATTTCTGCTTGTTTACAGTCCAAGATGGCGGAAAACACCCGTGCTACCTTAATGACCAAACTTAGCAAGGATACTAGGTCTAAATTACATTTAATAGAAAAATTTAATTGCACTAATCGTTTCGTCTTTTCACTTTTGTTTGTGTGTATTAAATACCAATCTGTTGAGTAAAGTATTTTCCAACTGATACATGTTCTTATATTGGCAGTTTTTAATACTAATCTAGATCAGAGACATATATATATGTGTATATATGTCTCTGTCTAGATAAAAAAAAAAAAAAAAAAGCGACTGGTTGGGATCTACAAAAAAAAGGTTAACCACTCAATATTATAACAATGTGCCTGTCCGAGGTCAGAAATTGGGTGGAAGATGGGATGGGTTTTTGCAAAAAGTTACAAAATATTTTCCAAGTTTCAAATAAAAGATGTTTCTTCTTTCAGAGAAATTAGCTGAATGACTGCACGTCCAAGTTCAGGCAATAATCTGACCTTAATTGTCCCTCCCAATAACTGGCTAATCCACTTACTTATTTGACCATAGCATACATTGGCCTCAGGTTTCTACACCATGATGTACAATACTGCCCTAGACCCCAGATGGCTAATCCCCAAATAAAATTACTACACAGTAGATATTACTTAATCCTCATTGATTATCTGAACTTGCAGACAAAACTGTTTTTATCTCCAATAAATTTATTGATTGTTTCTGTGAAAATGTTCACAACTTTCATGTGCTCGGGACGATTTGAATGTTTGCCGTATTGCATATCGTAAAAACAACTGTCTACTATTGAAGACTGTATGTTGCCCTGTAATGTCGTTTGTTCATTTTTGTCGTTTGGTTGCTGTTTCATTGCGTATACCCAAATCTCCTTTATTTACATCTATACATCTGATAACGGGTATGGTCAAGGAATATGCAATAGATGAAATGTAACTAAGGTCATGTTTTCCTGAACTGTTGTTTTATGAAGTCTACTGTAAAATGCATCCACTGATATTAGAGTTCAAGGCGGCAATGATTTTATATCAGCAAGTGAAGTACTTTGAACTTGCTTTTAGTCACTATATTGTAATTGTTTTTGTTATTGCTTATATCGTTGACATAGAGTTCAGCGTTTGTTGTTTAAGTTTTTTTTGTATGTCCATTGATTTAGATTTAAAAGAGATCGAATTGTTAAATCAGTTTAACTTCCATGCTGATTACATAACAAGTAAGACCTTACTTAGACTTTGAATCACTTGAAAACCGATTTTGACAGATCATTTAACTTTTTTCATTTGAACGCGTAGGTTTAATATAACTACTGGACGGTGGGACAATGCTTGCACTGTATTCAATAGACAGAATTTATTTATTTTAACGTCAAATTATGATGAATAAAGTTAAAGCCTTTACAAATTTGCAATAAAAAGAATTATAAAAGGATTTTATTTTTTGAAAGGTTAAAAATAATGAATATAAAATGATTTGGTGAAGTGTCATCTTAAGTACAATTAAAATGTTTTTCACGTAATTCAGTGGTGGGTCCGTAGGTGACCTGTTGCAAGGCAAAATTTCTGTAATTTATGGGAACGACTGTTTTGTTTTTTGTTTTTTTTTATTGAAACTGCATGTAGTTACCGTAAACCGAACTGACCGTTCTTAATTTACGGATTGGCTTATAAAAAGCAAAAACAAAATTACGGTCAGTGTTTCACGTTTAATAATATCTTAAAACTAGAGCCTCTTTCAGCTAAAAAGGCAACAAAAAGAAACGATTAAGGCACTTCATGATAGCAAAAACTTATTCACAATTCGTATCAAATTAAAATGCAAAACAAATTTCTAATAAAACATGAGTTGAGCTAAAACTATGAGGATTTCGGACAGATCCAGGTGAGCGATGTAGGCTGTTAAGGGCCTCTTGTAAAAAAATATTTATCTGTATAAAGGCACAGAACAGGGTATTTTGGATGACGTCACATATCTATCAGTAATTTATGTTCATCGTTTAAAGTTAATAAATGTTTATTTTTATAATCATAATGTATATTTTAGATCCACACCACTGTTGCAGTTAAAAGTCACAAAACGATAAACTGCTCTAATTTGATTGATCACGAGAATCAGATAAAAGAAGTCTATGAATGAGTGTTAAAGGCATACGATACCGTTTTAATTCCAGTGTGATTTTATGACGAAAATTTGCATACAAGCCATTTTATGCTGGATCAATTCAAATATGTAATAATAACAAAAATATACCGTCATGCGCTACTTTCAGAGATAATTGGGGTCAAAATTTTTGTTATTTGCTAAAAAAAAACCCAGTATTTTGAATATTTGTATCCTATGGCCAGAAATACCCAACTTTTTTTTTCAAAAGACAAGTGTTTATATCTTAAGTGCCATTCTTTGTAAGAATCAGGCAATTTTGAAAAAAAATCAAAACAAGGCCGGAAAAAACCCACCGACCTAACCATCTTATTTTGAAGTTACCCTTATCCTGAGTTAGAAATTGTAGGTCTTTCATTTCTGCGTGTCTGGTAATTCGAGAAATCTCTAGAAAACTTTTGGTTAGAATGATAGCAAATTACGGAGTTAGCTCCCCTTAATTGTTAATTTCTAGTGCATTTCAACCAAATTATATCTTGAATTACCAGAACAGGAAAAGGAAACGAATGTTATATTCGTGCACCATCACACATTTTGAACATAAATTAATGTCAACTTGAGTGGGTTTTTGTTCGTCATGTTTTCATCACTGCCTGATTCTTTGGCAGATTGACACTTAAACGTTAAAAGTGGCAGAATTTGTTTTTGGACCTACAGTCATAAAACTTTCGAGTAATTTTTCGTACTCAGACTCAGAAATCAACCAATCAAACTATTGGATTTAGTTTTTCGGGCACAAATGTTGTACTCCGAGTACTGAGTAAAGTTTTATGAATGAAAGCCAGATTATAAGAACTTTGTCGTATTAATCAATCACATATACATGTAGTAAGAGGTTGTTCTTTCTAATTTTATTGTTGAAATGTTTTTCCCTTCAATGGATGTAAAACGAATGTCTAGATATAGGAACTACGCTCATAAACATTAGTTTTTATCATTTTCATTTCACATAAGCCAAACCCCAGGCTGTATAACCACGATTGATTTTTTTTTTATTCAATTATTGCCTTTGAAAAATACTATGTTTAAAGTCGTTTATTTTGATTTTTCGATTTGATTAAGAGTGATTTTTAAAATTGTTGATTGCTTCAAGTTCAGTGGCAAATACTTCAGGTAGTTCATGGACAAGAAGAAGTATTTTATAATGATATTTATTCGATTCACTTCACTGTAAAACTGTATGTTACATGTATGTTTGATGTTCATATGCTATACATTAGTTTTACCTGGATTTATCAGACATTAATATAAGGCAATAGACCTTCAATACATTCGCAATGCGCGAGGGAACATGTTGCACAGCTCGAGTAATTATCCGTTTGTCAGGATAAGAATCTCAACTAAAAATGAAATGTTCCATCGCTTTAACTAATACATTATACATATATGCTTGATTAACCCGATAATTCTCCTGACGACTATGATATTAAGGGTCTTTATATAATAAAAAGGAATTTATCTTACTTATCTAAGTATCTAAAAATGTTATCTATTATCGGGTGAATAGTAACAGTTGTTTCGTTGGTAATCATACCCCATCTCCTTATACTGTAATATTCTCTTTTATTGAATAAAGCAAGTCCTAGTTTACAGAAAAGGCCTGTTTACATGATCTATCTTGAATGCATTTTGAATGAATGTAAATGCAGAGCAACAGTTCATTGTTTAACTATCAACGGACAAATTTAAATATGTTTTTAAACGTTTACTGAATGCTAAAATCAAACATAGTACGTACGATTTAAGTATAAGAATGATTCATTGTTAATCTGCTCAATATAATGTTTTCCTATTCAAATTGTTTGACACTAGAAAACGTGGAATATTTTAAAGTATATCATTACGTGGAACATTTTGAAATGTTAATTATCATTATACCTCGTTTTATGATAATCAATAACAAGTTTCATTGTTAATTTGTTCAATATAAATACTTTCCAATTGAAATCGTTTGACACTAGCCTGATATCACACTCAAAAAGGTTTGGAATATTATAACGTATAGCTTTCTACCTCGTCTCATAACAACCAATTACATAAGTTCTCAATGACTGTCAAGTAATTTGATGAAGTGCCATGAATTTTGAGTAAAATCGTTTGCAAAGTGTCATGATAATTGAAATTGTACGCAATTTGTGTAAAATGAGTTAGTTCGGAAAAAGACCGAGAAAAAAAATCAGGATGCAATTTAAATAAATTGCTTCGCCGAGCGCAGCTAGATACGACCGGAGAGGTCTAACCCTGAACAGTTGGGGCAAAAATGGACACAATATTCGCGCTTGATACAGGTCTGAATTTGGATTGTAATTAAATATTTGACACATAATAGGTTTCTGACACAGAATAACTGGTTTTTAAATAAAAAATATATGATTTGAACTTATATTCAATATTTTGCTTTTGTGCAATACACTATGCTGTTGGGAATTGCCCCCTCTCCAAAAAAAATTAAAAAAATTACCCCTCTTTTTTTTTTGCTTTTGTGCAATACACTATGCTGTTGCGAATTTATCCCCCCCCCCGAAAAAAAAATTGTTTACCCCCTTTTGTTTGCAAAAATTAAATCATTTGAAGAAATTTTAATTTCTGAAATCTGAAATGAAAAAAAATTGTCCCCTTACAATTTCTTTTTTTAACCCCCCCCCCCCCCCCACCTTTTCCAAAATAAAAAAATCTTACCCGCAAGATATGGTCATAATCTCAATTCAAATTTCCAATGGAGTTTGCAACCATAATTACCCATTTAAATACATCCTAAAAGTCTTAAAATAGAAAATGACATACATCATCATGACTAAAATTAATATTCAGCATTTTTAAATAGTAACTTCTAAAAATAGATTGACAGCTAATCACCTCAAGACATTACAACATTTCTTTATACATAATTTAAAAGCAGTGTAAGGGAGGTAATCCAAACATAACATTGTACTTTTTTTTAATTGTCAATTAAACAGGACACCCTTGTTTTTTCTTACTTTTTTGCCCCTCATTCCTAAACAGTTTGAGCCATAACCCCCTAAGCCAATCCTGACCATCCCTTTATGATATGGAAACTTGTGGTATAATTTCAGAGAGATCCATACACCGTTCCACAAGTTATTGTCAGAAAACTAGAAAAATGCTTATTTGGGCCCCTTTTTGGCCCCTAATTCCTAAACTGTTAAGACGATAACCCTCAAAATCAATCCCAACCTTCCTTTTCTGGTTATAAACCTTGTGTTTAAATTTCATAGATTTCTATTTACATTTACTAAAGTTAATGTCCGGAAACCAAATGTCTTCGGACGATGCTGACGACGACGACGACGACGACGTGATACCAATATACGACCGCAAAATATTTTGCGGTCGTATAAAAATTACCAACGGTATGTTTGTCTTGAAAAACATATTATTACTTATAAATAAAGCAACTATATTTTCATTTGGAAGAAAAAAAAGTACCAAATTGTCTTTGAACAAAGAAAGCCAAAGTTGATAGAAATATCTTTAATTAAAAGCAGTAACAAAGTTTTAAACCCTTTAACGGCATAAATCTTAGGACTACTTCACCAAAACTCTTTAACATCATAACCCTTAGGAATTATACTTCACTAAAACCCATTTACAGATTACATCAAATGATTTAATTTACTCCACCTTAACCCTTGTACTTCATAAATCTTAGAACTACTTTACTCAAAACCTTTTTATGGCATAACCCTCAGTATTAATTCGCCCTTTTACACTATAAATCTTAGAATAACTTCATCTCAACCCTTTAACAGCATACATATTAGGACTACTTCACTAAAACCCTTTTACAGCATAAATCTAATGATTTATTTACTTCACCTTAACCCTCTAACGGCATAAATCTTAAAATTACTTTACTCAAACCTTTTTGTGGCATAAATCTCATAATTGATTCACTCAGACCTTTTACAGCATAAACCTTACTATAGGATTACTTCACCCATACCCTTTTACGGCAAAAATCTTAAGTATTCTGTACCCAGACCCTTTTATGGCATACCTACTAGGGTTACTTCAGCAAATACCCTTTAATGACATAAATTATGGGAATACTTCACTAAGACCCTTTTACAGCATAAATCTTAGGATAATTTCACCTAAATCCTTTTATGGCATAAATCTAAGGATTTATTTATTTCACCTTTACCCTATTACGGCATAAATCTTAGAATTACTTTTTTCAAACCTTTTTATGGCATAAATCTCAGGATTAGTTCACCCAGACTCTTTTACAGTATACATCGTAGGATTACTTCACCCAGACCCTTTCTCTGCATAAATCGTAGGATTACTTTAACTAGACCCTTTTAAGGCAAACATCTGAGGATTACCTCACCAAGACCCTTTTATGGCATAAATACTAAGATTACTTTTCTGACATAAAATTATAGGAATAGTTCACCTAAAGCATTTCATGACATAAATCTTGGGATTACTTCACAAAAACCGATTTATATGTTCATGTTACCATGCACGTGGGAATTAAGAAAACTGCTACGAAATAATCAATTAATCTTAGGATTACTTCAACCAGACCCTTTTATGGCGTAAGTCTAAGAACAGTTTCACTAATACCCTTTAACAGCATAAATATTAGAACTACTTCAGCAAAATCTTAGCTCCTATTCCTAAATGCTGCGTGTTTAGCGGAAAAGTGGCAAATACCAATTTCAAGATGCTGGTTCGACTCGGCCGGTAGGCTACTACGAGGACTGTATGCTGCCATCTAGAATAGATGTCTTTGGGTTATTTTTGTCATTTGTTTACTGTTTCATTGACCCCACATATTCTTTTATTTATAGGTCAGTGTATAGCAAATGACGTCATTGGTGAACAGAACACACAGACTGAAGATAATGATGATTATAATGGAGATACTGGTAAACATAGTCAATTATTAACTCCAATAATTTGCGACCTCCATCTACCAGAGATGTATTTCCATTCTAATAAGAAATATCATAGTTTATGTATGCAGCCAGTTTTTAAGCGATGTTTAAACTTCTTTCGGTCAAAATTACCGTAAGAATTCGTTATAAATGGCTTACACATTAACCTCTACCCGCATTTGCGTACATAATTGACATTTGTGTTGCTTTCGTGTTGTGGTGTTAACAAAAATCGTATTCAATTTAAAAAGTTGACAAAACTGAAAAAAATGAAAAATCATTGAAAACAAACAATAAAATGTTCCAATTTCTGCTTAAAACATAATAAACTAAACTGATTATTTGTTGATTTTGTTATTATATCTATGGTTAAACTAACATACCAATAACACAATGGGTTTTCTAGTCAACATTAAAATATGTATTTCAGTGGCGGAACCAGGATTTGATGTTAGGGGACGGGACCCTTATTAGTTCTTGACATTTTTTAAGCTAAAAAAATATGTTTGACGATCTAAGGGTGCGCACGCTCTTTACTTACCCACACGAACATTAGGTGTTCAGCAAATGCTTATTCGTCAGATCATAAATTGAATCTCCACATTTACGAAGCCGAATAAATTACTCCCGATCAGGTAAATGAAATTTAATTGTTATACATGTATGTAATGATGGACCAACGCATAGCAATATTTGATAACTAAATACCTTAATGTTATATTCATTTCAAACTAGACGAATTTACAAACCATTATTCTTTATCTGGTTATAAAGGAAAATATTAAAAGAAATTGGCGGATAGTTGTATCTTTGGCAATCATACCACATGTCGCATGAAGTTTAAATACAAATTTAAATTCCATTGCAATGTTATTTACAGATAGGATTGTAGTGATAAATATTTATTATTATTCTTATTAATTTTTCTATATATTTTTAGTCAATGCAGTTCTAAACTTCGACAACCAATACAAATTCGATTGCTGTGGTTTCATATATACGTGGGAAATTTATGTACGCAGAAATGTTATTACACCAATAAATGTGAAAGTCCAAGTTTGGTACAATTCCGGTACAATATGGACTCTGCGAGGAGAGAATGATATTACTGCCACTGGTAAGGCGTTTCACATGTATATGTTACATGTATGCTAAAATACTACGAAAGACTGGTAGGGACATTTTTCCAGTTATCAGTGGGCATTTCTCAGTTTCAACTTGGAAGTGTCATGTTCAGTGCCAGTAAGTGATAAACAGCTTTCATCAGCTCTTTTTTTATTACCAAATATGTACGGCGTCATCTAGCCTAACGCCAGTTTGATTGAATGTTAAAGTAAATTTGATTAAACAATTATGGGTTGCTGATACAGAGGTTTCCATTAGTCAATTATAGCCAAGAGTTCCACAGGGTGAAGTTGAAATCATCCCTTCGTAAATTTTACGGACGCCATCACGAGTTGGTTGACCGTTATGGAATAACCGTTTCACAGATGATATCGGATATGTTCCTTATGTCGTAACTACAATACCCTTCCCTTTTCACGGATGTAACTTACCGAATTAGTCTAATTACCGGATTTGTAATAAATAAGCAACACGACGGGTGCCACATGTGGAGCAGGATCTGCTTACCCTTCCGGAGCACCTGAGATCACCCCCAGTTTTTGGTGGGGTTCGTGTTGCTTAGTCTTTAGTTTTCTATGTTGTGTCATCTGTACTATTATTTGTCTGTTTGTCTTTTTATTTTTGGCCATGGCGTTGTCAGTTTGTTTTCGATCTATGAGTTTGACTGTCCCTCTGGTATCTTTGGTCCCTCTTTTATAGGAATGACAGGTTTTCGAATGACACACATTCCCTAGAGGAACGCGAACCACGTTTTCGTGCAAGTTGCAGCAAGTTCCTCTAGCATACGCGAACAAACTTTAAAGGTAGCATGTTACTCTAGGGTATCCGAACAAACTGTTGCACGTTATTCTAGGGTATGCGAACAAACTGCTATGTGTTGCACTAGCAAATGTGTTAAAAATTGCATTGCGACTCGAATGACCCTTCGTACAACTTACACGAGAACGTGGTTTGCGTTCCTCTCTAATATACTGTTTTAACAGAAATAAAAATAGACAAATCTCACAACAAGAATACATGATTGTTCTCCGCCTTAGACAACCTTCCCACACAGAAAGAAGAATTTCCTCTGATAAAATGTTTCCTGTTGATATTATTTTCTTCGATCGCTCGACTTTTTTTTAAAATGTTTGAAATAAGTGCTGCAATGTCAAAAGACTGTCAGTGACAGTTTATGCTCTGTTTTGTAAATTGTGTAACTTTTTTGGTCATTGTTGACGCTAACGCGTAAAAAAGTCGATATCTAGATATTAAAATGAAAATATTTAGTTTTTTCCCATTTTGACCTTTTCAAAAAATGAACACGATGCAGCAGTAAATCTTGGTACAATGTTGAATTCTATTCAATTCAAAAGAATGTTTACAACAGATAATTCTGCTTCATGCTTTGATCTACAAATAGAAATATGAATTGGGAGCTGGTAGTAGTGTAAATGGTGAGACATATAAGATTACGTCAATTCTCACATGTTTGAAATTTCATTAATATATGAATCATTATTACAGCATAACTCTAGACAAGAAACTCCAGTATCCCTGAAACACGTGAAACATGTATTTTTTTTTTTCATTTAGGGGGAAGTTAAAGATTGAAAAGTGAAACTCTTTTTTTTTTTGGTTACTTTGCACTATAAATTTAAGTACATCTCTCTTCGATTAAATCTTCCTCCGAGCATATTCTTGGGATAAAGTAAAGCTATCAATATATACTATAGCCCTTTCATTTATGATTTGTCATAAACCGATTTAAAAGTACATCAAACGGAACTAAAACTGAAGGAGATGTGGGTTATACGCCATTGTACGACTTTGCCCCCAGGAGTGCTATAGAAAAACAGTACATTAACGGGTGTTACACGGACACTTTTTATGAATAGAATCACTCGTGCATGATCAGTGAGTTCATGGGCACTTTAAATTTCAATTAGATTTGAACTTTTTGTTTCACCGACATATTTCCTGTCTTTTTTATTAAAATATTTACGTTGGCATCAATAACTATATTTTTTTCAAACAATCCCAGTATATTACTATTCATGTCAGTACACTAAGGGATTGACCATTCAACTTCAAAAGGGGGTTATGGTTTTTTCCTATAAAAATATTCTGATCCCCAATTTTAGGAGAAAACAATATATTGTGGTCAAGCAGATGACACAATAATGGTCCAATGTTATCTTTTGATTAGATTTGATTTTTTTTTATATATTTCCTGTCTTTTTTATTGAAATATAAACGTCGGTACCAGCATTTCTTCACTTTCAGCATTGTCCAGAATACTATTCATGTCCATATATTGAAAAAAAAAAACATTTACGGACCGACCATTTAGCTTCAAAATACGGTATTCGGAAAATCAGGAATACCGTATATGATTGTGCTAATTTCGAAAAAAAAATATTTGGGTGATAGCGTTGACAAACTAAATAATTTTCTTACTCAGAAAAAAAAATACCCCCCTTTTGAAGCTAAATGGTCGGTCCGTAAATGTTTTTTTTTTCAATATATGAGAATGAATAGTATTCTGGACAATGCTGAAAGTGAAGAAATGCTGGTACATTGTACCGACGTTTATATTTCAATAAAAAAGACAGGAAATATATAAAAAAAAATCAAATCTAATCAAAAGATAAAATCCCTATCAACTCACCAATGCACGATTGATCTATAAATAAAAAGTGTCCGTGTAATACATGTTCAAATAGGCAGCAAATCTTGAAGAAAATCATTCAACTTATGTCACCAATTTTGGACGGTAATATAAGCTGCGGTTGGATCATATTGTGACACGTGTTTAATCTTGATCAACACTATCAGAAACATATAAAAACCTATGAGCATGAAATTTTTTTTTAAAAATCCAAAATATATGCCTATACATATATCTAATAACAAGACAAAATCCATTTTTTTATAACATTTCATTCCCTAATGAAATAGAAAATTCATTCTTTTGATACATTTATATTGTTATTGAATTCATATATATATATATATTGAATTCATATATTTGGGAGCAAACGTACGATTTTCATTATTTTTTTAAGGGGAAATGGGGGGATGGAATGGCACATCCTGCATTTTTTCAACAAAAAAGGATCAATCATGTTTATTTTAAATGTGTTTTACCGCCCTTTTCCGTCCCCCCCCAATAAAAATCAAATGTTAGCTTGCTTACCTCTGAAATCTTTTTCATACATTACTTACTTGCGAAGTTGCATTTTAAAAAGTCTCAAATGTGTACGACATTCATCTTTTACTTGACATGGTTCTTTTTTATAAAATTATTAGACTCTTGAATTTCTTGAGAAAAAAATTCTCGGCTGAAGGGAAGTTTGTTTAAATGTAACTTACATTAACTGGTATATGGCCATTTAAGTTTCTAATCTGTTTAATTTTGCTACCTCTTCTAAATGCAAAATGTACTACTCGTCGCACAAGTCAGATACAAAACAAAGGTAACAAAAAAACAGGCCGGAAACAAACTGCCGTATAGTTCTTCTGCACTAGTAGTCAGGTCAAGGTTCACCTGACTACTCGTGCAGAAAAACTATCCGGCAACGGTTGTTATCGGCCTGTTTCTTTGTTATATTTGTATTTTATCTAATACATAAGACAGCAATCAAAAGACAAAAACTACCTAAGGACATCTCTAGGGCAACATATAGTGTTCAACAATAGACCGGTGTCTAAAGAATATGTCAAGTTATAAATCGTTAATCAAAAACCCAGTCTCATTTATCTTGCCGACTTTAAAGAAAACTTATTTGATCTGATTTGATCGTCACGAAATTTATATAAAAATTGTGAATTTTAACAGAAACAATCAAAAACACCAAATACTGTAACAATTTAGGAGAAAGCCAGGATATCAAAAAAGTTATTATTTAAAAGTTACCAACCTTTTACTACGTCAATGCGTATTTTCCCCTTCATTTACCCTACAAGAAAAACTTTCGAAGGAGCCGTGGATTGAATATCGTCTTAATATTTCCAAAACGTTCACGTACATTGATGGCGTCATGTGTTAAAATAGTTATTGACCAATCAAATCGGTATATATCATTTCATCTGCACGGTCGGGATTACCCATTAACCCAGACTCCTACGTCGTTCGGGTCAAGTGAAGTCACCCGAGCCGTGCAGATTAAATGACATATACCAACTTGCTTGGTCAATAACTATAACATAGTATTTTATTATTTTCAACATATTGTTCATTTTAAACGTTAATATAAGTTATGGTTTGCCGAATCCCGTATGGGTTTTACTTCCCCTCTATGGATCCGTAGGGGTCAGTAGCGAACTATTTAACGATTTTATCGCACCAGGGTCTTTTCCTGCCAAGTTTTGTATAAAAATAAGCAATGAAATACAACATCATTAATATATATGACGTCACCATTGATAGTAGACGTGACGTCATGAACCCAATATGAAATCTACTACGTGATGGCGTTAAGGGTATACGATACAGTACAGATAACAACGTTTTCAAGCTTTTCGTGTTGTTTTCGCGACGTTTTTAATCAGAACGTTAACATTTCGCGACGTCGCTTTAGATGTTGTCACATTTGCGGAAAATTCACTGACGTCATAAATCCGGTTGCGCGAATTTAAAAAAAAGTACCTGTTAAGAAAAGTTGCCATATCACGAGAATTGTTATATTTATTCATTTTATATTGAAATAATGAGTCAACAGTATTATCTTGAAATGTAAAAAAAAATCAAATCAACATTTACAATTTTGTGTGTAATTTTTTATTTCATATACGAAATGAATAAAAAGATATGTCAATGAGATAGAAACCCAACACAAAAAGCCCAATAAGTAATTTTAAGTATCAACGCACTGTATTCATCAATATATAGTATGTATACCATTAATTTTGGCAAACTCTAAATCTAACGGATAACTGTCATTGTACGGACAAATTCAACAGAGACGGTCAACAAAATAACAAAATAAAATAATGAATAAAGACAACGCCTCATACTTTTCCTGATTTTGAATAGGAAAGTTGTCGAGTTAAACAGCTTTGTAAAATTTAACCCAATAGAACATATATGTGTGTGTAGAAGAACTGTCATTTAAAAAGACACAGTTATAATAAACCCTGCATGATAGACCAAAACAAGAACGCACCCTTTGACGTGCTAAGTATATCCCCTCTTGTACATATTGAGAGAAAAAAATCGAAATATCGGCACACAGGAATTAGGTATCTGACAGACCAGAAAAGTGTTCACACATTATAACTCATTGATGTCAGACTGATGATCAAATATAATTTCAATCTGTAAGGAAGTTTCTGAGAAAAGTAACAGAAATAATTGTTGAACGACCGGACGGACGGACAAACAAAGTAGTTGCAATATTGCCCCACTCCTAGAGTAAATAGATATAAGGAAGATGTGGTATGAGTGCCAATGAAACAACTCTCAATCCAAGTCAAAATTCATAAAAGTAAACCATTATAGGTCAAAGTACGGTCTTCAACACGGAGCCTTTGCTCACACCGAACAGCAATCTATAAAGGGCCCCAAAAACTACTAGTGTTAAACCATTCAAACGGGAAGACCAACGGTCTAATCTATATAAAAAACGAGAAACGAGAAACACTTATGAACCACATCAACAAACGACAACTACTGAACATCAGATTCCTGACTTAGGACAGGTGCAAACAATTACAGCGGGTTTAAACGTTTTAATGGTACCAAACCTTCACCCTTATCTGAAACAATAGTGTAACATCACAACATAGAAAGACACACTATAAAATATCAGTTGAAATGGCTTAACTCAATCAAAAGACATATTAACACCAGTGAACATACACTGAACAAATAAATTTGATCTATGATACAATGTAAATACAAAATAAATAAACTAAGGGAAGAATAATTAAAGTAACATGTTATACCGCTGTGAAATGTTAAACAGTTTAAGAAAAACAAAATGCTTGAACAAAAATATCAGCCAGTTGCAATTACTTTAAACACAGGTAAATGAACATAATTGTGTTGTTAGGTATACGTGTACAGTTCAAATGGAGAAAGGAAATATTTTTACAAAATAAATGATTTTGATGTTCATAGTACGAAGAAGTTAAAATTTATAGTAAGTCAATAATTATATGTACCGTTATAAAGGATAGTTTTTTACACTGAAGACAATCCAAGGTAACTTATCTATTGATATAGAATCATGCAATTTCATGCTCTAATACCAGCTGCTGCACTTCCTATGAAATGTATACTACAACATAATGGACTATTGAGACAATTATGACATGAATTTGCACGAAACAGCTCTAAAAATTAACTGTTTACACATGTTCAGAGTAGTTTCTAAGCTAACCCGAGTTAATGAGGGTATGGTTGCGTGTACATATAATGCTTATAGAGACAAAATTTACCATATTCTGAATTTTTTCAAGAAAAGTTTTCAACGAAACAGATATATGTTTTGTTATTGTATAATGACATGCATATCTTTTATTTTGATAATTCTGCATTTAAAGTACAATGTATTAATCGAAGGCTAGAAATTCAACATTACCAATGGTTTATCAATTTCCTTGACTTCGTATGAAAAGGAAAACCTTAAATTCAGGTTTTCAACAAACTTATATTTTACTTTAGGCTACTATGCCCACAGAACTTTTCAAAACCACGAAATGAAATGTCCACAGATTTGATTTTTAGCCTCAATCCACGTAACTAAATCAATATACACTACACCTAGTTTCAAACGAGAAACATATCAGCTGATTTATATCTTTGTCTCTCCTTGTAATTAAAATTTGAACGAAGATTGTCTTTTGGATGCAAAGAGAAAGGGAATTTGAAGCAAGATGATATACCCCTTGTCCTATTTGATATATTCAACGAACAAAGAAGTGCACTAAAACACACAGGAAACGTTAAAAAGGTTTACACTAGGCCATTAGTGTTCTCGTTGTGAATTGTTTCACATTTTTTATTTATAGCTGACTTTACGGTGTGGGTTTTTTCATTGTTGAAGGCCGTACGGTGACCTTTTATTGCTTTTGTCTTCGTCATTTGAACTATGGTGGATAGTTGTATCATTTGCAATCATATCAAATGTCCTTATTTTTATATTATCCCACTTACTTTATAATTGTTTCACATTTTGTCATGTTGGGGCCTTTTGAATAATCAAAACTATGCTCAAGCTTTGTTGTCTACATGAAACAATTCAGGAATAATGTCGGACAGAGATGCAAATTAATTTTTTATCTTTTTTGTTTCCGTACATTTCTCAAAGAAATTTACTAGAATACTTTAGTAAGATGCTATTTCTTGATTATGAAGAAGTTTCTGTCCAAGTTTCGTAACATTTCAGAAAAGTTTGACAAATATTTTATGCTATTTTACAAGTTACCAGCTTTATAAATGTTGATGATTAATATCGTTGCATTGCAAAACCCCCTTGGCTATACCACTGAATTTGACAGCGTAGTCGTGTACGGCGGGAGTGATTGCACGACGTTGTTGCGATTACAACTTATTGCAACGTAATTTAGCGCCATATTGGCAAACTGGACGTTTGCCATGAACAAATCAGGGTTTATTGCTTTTATTGAAAAAAAAACAAGCACATGGACCCCTATTTTTTTCTTTTGCAATCAATAAAGTACGGTTTCAAGAACGCTTCTCCAAAATTTTAAGAAAAAATCAACTATAGATTTTTTTTTTCTGCACTTCTGTGTAGACGCAAAAATATTGTCAACTTCTTTATTTCACTAATAGTAATATAAATTCAGAATATAATAATTGGGTTTATTCTTACACTTATAACAGCACTTTAATGCCAAGGACCAAGGGAACATTTTACAAAAGAAAACAGGTTAAATTATGACTGTTCGTTCAAAAGTATTGCTACTTTCCTTAAAAGTCCTAAATTATGAAATGTCATGGTTTTGCCTTCAAATATGCAAATTACGAACCAAAATATCTCAAAAAGTAAGTCATAAAGGTATATTTTTCTTTGCATATTTCAAAAGAACATTGAAATTGACCTTCTATCAAAATTTCAAAAAAAAAACCAACGAGATATCTCTACTGTATCGTATGCCCTTGACGTCACTAATTTAACCGAGTTGCGATAAAGAATATTGAGAAATTTGTACAAATACTGTTTTTCTTCTTCTTCAGATGATAGAAATGAGAATGTCATTGCAATTGCAACTGGATCTAGAATCCGTGTCTTCCCTGACGATTACATAGGCTTGTATGTATGAAACAAAATAACAAACAAACACACACACACACAGCATTACTTATCGCTTTTCTTCTATCAAATGTATGTTATGGTTGTCATGAATAAAATTACTGCGCATGCAAATACTTCTTCTTTTAAGAATGATTTATTGATCTCATATTCATCTACCAAAACATATCCCTTGTACAGAAATTCATGTTTATGTTGCATTCATGGATGACAAAGAGTTATATAGTAACTTTTAACACTGTTTATTTCCCTAGCAGAGTCACAATTTTGAAATTTATAAAATCCAGGGTGATTTGAATGTTACTAATGACTTCAAATGATACACTTAAAATGTAGTTTAGTTTATATTGATTGGTGATTGCTTTGCGCAACATCAGCACAAAAGAGGCTATAACTATGTTATTTGTTCAAAAAGATAAGTTAAAACAACTTTTGAAACCTTCTCCTTTACATATGTTACAATAATTATACAAAGTATGAGCAGCTAAGGAGATGTACCTTCGGGAGCAATACCACCATTGTTTCCCCCTATTAGTCTTTGTTAAATTGGCATTTAAAAAAAAAATATACAGAATTTATCTTTGTTTTAAAAAAAGAAATAAAGGTATATTTTTCTTTGCATATTTCAAAAGAACATTGAAATTGACCTTCTATCAAAATTTCAAACTGGCATGAGTAAAGTTTTTTCCTGTCTAGTACTATAGTGAAAATTTCAGATAACATTTCATTGCATATAAGATAATAACCATCATCGGAAGTAACGAATTAAATTTTCACCCTTTTTTTTTCCTTTTTACAAGCTTTAGTAACCATGTCACCTCAAGTTTCCAAATATTTTATCGATACACCAAATAAAAAAAAAGCTTTGGAACACCCAAAATATATGTTTATGACTCAGAAATTTGTTTCTGCAATGAAATGCGGGGTTCACTTCCTACCACTGTCAAATTCAAGGGAATATTATTTTCGACCCTTTTTCGGATGTGACGTACTATGATTTGGTGGCATTACACCTTAAGGTATTAGTAAACAGGGGCAATAACATACATACAGTGTGAAAAATAACCCAACATAATTAAAATAATAATAATAAAAATTTTAAAAAAATTGATAATAATAATGAATGGAATTCATTGGACACGATGTTTTTTTTTTTTGGCTTATATCTGGGACTATTATTCTAGTATAGTATGTCCTAGCATATTATACCTTATTTGATTATCATGATTATTCTTAGAGGATTTTTTTTTAATTTATGCATTTATTATAACAAAGCCTTTTTTAAGATTTCACAGTTTTCCTCGTATGTTAAATTTTGGCTATACCCTCATTGAGCAACTCAAGATTAGATATTCACGAGGTGAACCACATACAAAGTTTGGACTCTGTATTATATTTGATTTAAATTGGTCGTTTTTTAGAAATGAAATTTTGTTCTCTCACACACATTGTTGGTAAAGAAGATTCGAATTTAAATTTTATAAACGATATAGTAACATTTTTCAAAAATGACATTCTGTACTTATATTCAGAGGAGAAGATTTTTAAAACTTAGATCAATCAGAACAAGAATTGCCTCTGACAGCAATGTTTGTTGACCAAAATCAGTAAGAATGAGAAAATTTATTAAACACAATCCATAGGCAACACCTGCCAAGTTTTTATCCAGCTGGGCCTGTGGTTTTGGAGAAGGTGAAAATGAGAAAGGTTTTTAAGATGAATGCCGATATACGACAAGTGATAGTAAAAGCTCATGTGGTCTTTTGTCAGCACGAAGCAATACAGTCAAGATCTGTAAAAACGGACAGTTCCATGCTCATGTCTGTTATTGTCATTTGGTCGATGACGACAGAAAAAGCACAGTAATTTTGGAGATCGCGTAGAGTGACGCATTTTCTTTTACTTACAAAATGAAATAATGTTGTCAGCACTCCTCCTGAATATGTAATAAATAAAGCGTCAAAAAGGCTTTCAAAACATGGCCATGCCGGTGAAATACATTCAAAGGATATTAATTGCCCTACAATATTTTTTTTACCTTACCAAAAATGCCATAAGCATTAAATCTCTTTAATCTGTTTTCAGTATCTACTAATAATTGGAAGTTGCCTTTAACCTCATTATACCTGTCATAAAGCAGGGTAACATAATGACAAAATTATATATATTGACACATTGGTACGATAATTGTTGGTGAATATTGCAAAATAGATAATATTCGTGGAGTGTATAGAATATTACTCCTGAAACATTATCCTTGAAATGATAAAAAAAATCATGTTTAAGGTGGTACCCAACACCTTGACTTATATCAATTTGGCTCGTTTAATTTTCATAAAATTTTGACAAAATGTTTACTTTGACCCTTTGACAAAAATATAAAAATTTCAAAAAATTTGAACCAACCACTTTATCAGAAAAATTTGGTTGGTTATATAGCAGTTTGACAAACCCATATTTTGATCATTGAGAAGCTTAATATTTCCTTAACAATACAACGTAATTAAAACGTTTAGCTGATTTTTACAGAGTTATCTCCCTGTAGTGTTAGGTACCACCTTAACTACTGTCAGTATCAACAATTTGAAGCTATATTGCAACTGTGTAATAACTTGACAATTTGCGATGTATTTCTTTAGTGAAAAATACTTTGATATACAATAAATACTTATTGTTGACATTACATACATTATAAGATCTAAACCAGGATATTTCGAGCCGATGTTACTGTAATAGTATACATGTTAGTATTATACATAAATATTTGTAAGTGTTCATATTCTATACTTTGGTTATTAGTAATACGTAAAAAGGAATTACCAAAAAAAAAACACTGAAAAGTACATCAGACCACATCAGCCACCAACACCCAACGCTTCAGAAAAAAACCAAATATATGTCCAGACAAAGACAAACAACAACAAACAACACATGGTCCAGATAGTCTTTGTACAGGAACAAATTTAAACAGTTTTACGTGCCCGCACCCCTCCCCTTTTACCCTTATAAGTATTCTTTAAATTATATACAACAATCTGGTTAAAGAATGCATAAAATTAATTGCAAATGGGTGATATTTTTGTTCAAGCATATTGTTTTTCTTAAATTGTTTAACATTTCACAGCGGTATAACATGTTACTTTAATTATTCTTCCCTTAGTTTATTTATTTTGTATTTACATTGTATCATAGATCAAATTTATGTGTTCAGTGTATGTTCACTGGTGTTGATATGTCTTTTGATTGAGTGAAGCCATTTCAATTGATATGTTATAGTGTGTCTTTTTATGTTGTGATGTTACACTATTGTTTCAGATAAGGGTGAAGGTTTGGTACCATTAAAAACGTTTAAACCCGCTGCAATTGTTTGCACCTGTCTTAAGTCAGGAATCTGATGTTCAGTAGTTGTCGTTTGTTGATGTGTTTCATAAGTGTTTCTCGTTTCTCGTTTTTTATATAGATTAGACCGTTGGTTTTCCCGTTTGAATGGTTTTACACTAGTAATTTTTGGGGCCCTTTATAGATTGCTGTTCGGTGTGAGCCAAGGCTCCGTGTTGAAGACCGTACTTTGACCTATAATGGTTTACTTTTATAAATTTTGACTTGGATGGAGAGTTGTCTCATTGGCACTCATACCACATCTTCTTATGTCTAATGACCATTTATGGGATATGTTTTCCTATAGGTTTGTTTTTGTCTTTTTGTGTATGTTTGCATTCATATAATGTTTACATGTTATCTTTTTGTATGGTTTGGAAATGATTTCTACTCTTAAAAGTTACTATCTAGTGATTAAAATATTCAAAGAATACATAAAAAAAAAGATAAAGACAAAAATAAATAGATTTTGATTTTATTGTAAAAAGAGATTTTTGAAACTCTCGTAAGTTAAAGTTGATTGCGATCGCGCAGATAACAGCGTGGGTAGTTTAAAGAGAGGTTGAAAGCCACTTTTTGTTACTAACAAGTTTTTTGTAACACAATGTGACGTGTGAAATGTAATGTTGGAAACAGAATTGTGAAGATTCAAATATTGTGTCATAAGATTATTGTGATCAACTATGATTGTCAGAAAGATTGATAAAGATTTGTGATTATTCGCAATGAGATGTCTACTCTCTTACTTAGGACGTTGCCTAAAACTTATATGAATTGAAGTTTAGAAAGAGGAAGAATATACTAGTATATAAATTTTTAATGTGAAATTTAAATAAAAAGAAAGTTTATGTGATACAGAATACAATTGTGATAATATATATTGAGGATTTATCCATAATTAACGATGATGATTTACACATCTTATTTTATAACATCTGTGCCGTAGCTTGTTAGGAAATATTTATATAACACAGTTTTACATGTTTCACGACTAAAGGAATAGATTAAGATAATTTGGAATCTAGTATATGGTATCTTTATATGATATTGTTCGTATTTTAATTTTGACCGAAAAGTAGGGGAGTGCAAAACAGTTGTGTTCATACCTTTAAGATAAGATTACTATCGACCACCTCCATGCTTCGCCAACGCCTTATTCTCTCCGAACATCAAGTGAAGACAAGACTAAAAACGGGTCTGCACCTGCGTCGCTGCACGTACTAGTTATAGATTGAGGTAACATGTATACTGGAGCATAACTAATCATTCTTTGTCAATGAAGCGAAGAAAACTTTCACGAAAATTTTCCTAGTATGATGAGTGTTGTAAAAATTCAAACTATCGACAAACATATAGTGGCGACACGGCTCATATAAATAGATTATTCGCTACAACTAAACATTATCAAGCTGCATACCCAATATTATATCATTCCCTTCAATAGGAACAAAGAAAACTTTGACTAAAATTCTACTTGTACAATGAGTGTTGTAAAATTTCAAACTTTCGGCAAACAGGAAGTGGATACACCGTAGATGTAAAACCAAAATTATAAAGCTACAGACCGAATATTTAGATTTAAATCATTCCCTTTCACAGAAGCCTTGAACAGATTTCTTTCGGACGAATGGACGGACGGACGGACGGATGGGGTCGAGCGGTTACCAGACTTGCTTCCGCCTTTGGCGACGCAGGTAAAAACAGTTTAGCACATCGAATATTACGTTGTTTACTGTTTATTAACACATTTATATGGAATAACAGTTAGCACATATATTAGTATTTTTTTTCGGTAGAAACAACTGAATGATAACAAATGAAAACAAGCACACTTTAAGTCTTACAAAGCTTATTACATATATTTCAAAATTATTTTCGTAATTGTTTGTTAGTTACGAATATGCTGGATCTGTTATCACGTATGGAAATGGTAATGACTACAGGACAGCTACATTTGCCACAGACCAGACAACGTTTGACTGGGGTACAGCAACGGCTGGTGGTAACAGAGACCATGCAATTCACGCCAGGATTACTCCAAGTATGAGTTTTAGGTTTTATTAGCTCTAATGTTTTCGAATTGATGAAAAATAAAAAGATTTGACACGATTTAACAGGCGATATCTATCCGCTAAAAACAACATGATGTTATATACATATTTATTTTCGTAATCTTGTATCTCTTTAATATTTACCTGAAATATTCTGTACTTTATCTACGGAACCTTAAATCCGAAGTATCTGCAGCATGTGGGGCAAAGTTATACAAATGTTTACACACATAATGGTCATTTTTTAAACTCGATTGATAATAATAAATAAAAATAATTTCAACTGTTTAATTTGCCTTAGTATGATTGAATGAGTAATTGTAAGATATATCTAAACATTTCTATAGAATATACCTTAATAGGTGAAAAAGCGTTCCAACATTATTTTTTAATCAACAATACTCCAAAATCGTTCCATATAGATCTGTTTTAAAATTGATACTTTCTAGCAAGGCATGTCACCATTAAAATGTAGTACTTTTATTCTGATCTTCAAACAAACCATACTGTTACATGTGGATGAAAAAAATATCATGCTGAACATAATTCGTAACGTTATTATACTTTTTAAAATTTGGATGGTATATCATTAAACATTTTCGATTTATAACTTATTCCCGATTCACGATACTCGTAACCATACTTTACTAAAAACGTAAAAGAGGATTTTTTCGAAAGCTTTCATTACAATTTTCGATGCTGATATACATTTGAAGATTGCAGATTGAAAGGTCAAATATATCATATTTGTCAATACTACCAATCGGTATTTATGTACATGTATTATATAATAAAAGGAGAGGCATGAGTTGATCAGACATTAACTCAACAACACAAAAAACTAAAAGCAATCTAGAAGTCAACATGGTTGTGTTTGTTATTACATATATTTCTCTATCTTTAATTCATAATGTAATTCTAGGTCAAATTCCAGCTTTCACAAACCTGGATGATACTGTTGCAATAAGCAATAATGAAGTAGCCGGAACCGTTCTTTTTACCCTCGCTACGAGTGACAGCGATCCTGAAGATGCCGGTCTGTTGACTGTAGCACACACTGGGAGCACTGGATTTGCTGCAACTTTTTTTGAACTCGACTCTTCAACTTGTAAGACATTAACATCATTATAAATTGTATTTTTAAAATTTGGTCGTCATAGTTACAACATTTGCTTTATTATAAGATAATTGTCAAATTAAAAATAGTTTTATTATAAAAAAGACCACATTTTGTAGAGTTAAACATATGCTGCTCCTTGAAAAGGATAAAACATGCTCAATTGATTAAGGGAGTCTCTCAGAGATGCTTTCTAAATTATTCAAGAACTTTTAAATCGATAGACAAACTTTAAATGATGTTACCGTAAAGCTGATATCTATACCTAATTCCTGAATAGAAAATACTTTGTGAAACAACCATTGACTTTGAACTGGCACATTAACATATGGTTCATTGGTTATGGTTCATATGTATATTTTGTATTTTGCGATGTTGTAAATACCATTTCAAGCCTGAAATGTACTACAAATAGTAATTGTAATTTAAAACTCAAAAGGCAATAATATGATCAAACTTTCAGGATTTTCATTGGCTTTCTCACATTTCTCGCAACAATAAAAATATCAGATGATAAATCTTATACGTCTGAAGCGCTTTTCTGTATTTACCTTCACCAGGAATGCTTAAACCTAAACATTTCATTGATTGATTGGTGATTGCATTATGCCGCATTTAAACTTTTGAAAGCCAGAAGTTGTAGAAATATGTTGACACGTATACAAGAAAGAAATTAAACACAACTAATAATAATTAAATATCACTTTTTGTAACAAACAGTGGAAGTTAAAATTAGGTCTGGTGTTTCTCTATCCCCTGGAAATCATGATATGACTTTCAGTGTAACGGATCCATGTTCAAGATCTTCATCTGGTACCCTGACGATACGAGTAGAGAATGATGTAAGTATTTTGATTACATTTGCTTGTTGCATCCTATACCGTGATTTACGACATGGTCCATTAAATTACCAGGATATTAGTAATAAACATGCAAGTCCTGTACTTCTCGTCAGGCTGTTACGTATAAGGTAGCACAATACAAAGATCTTTTTACTTCCAATCTCCAACCTTTAAAATGATGTTACTTTCTTATGACTGCATACAAACTAATAAAAGAGGTATATATAGATAGATAAAAGATTAATCTTTTAATTGAATGCAATATTTTTGTCATGCAATCATTATGTAATCAATTATTATGCAATTAATGGCAAAATCTTGGTCAGTTCACTTGAATGAATTTAGCTCTGACATCTCTATAACTTCACTAGAAATTTTAACGTTATCTCAATCAACACAGCAGGAGCTACAAAAGGGTGTCTCAAATTGTCGCTATCGTATTCCATTTTCTCAAGGGGGCCTCGGTGGCCGAGTGGTCTAAGTAGTTACTACTGTAATCACTAGCCAGTCAACACTGAGGTTGTGAGTTCGAACCCCGCTCATGCGGGTGCACTCGACTCCAATCTTAATTGACTAGGATTGTCAGTTTTCCTATCGAAGGTCGGTGGTTTTCTCCGGGCACTCCGGCTTCCTCCACCAATAAAAACTGGCCGCCACGAAATAGCCCAAAAGCGGTGCTTAAAAGTGGCGTTAAAACACCAAAAATCAAATCAAAATCAACCATTCTCTCATAAATCTGTAATTAGTGTAAACATCATTACCACATGCAAGTAGAGATTATTTGATTAGGTGTAAAATTTGATCTATACATTGTATCCAAAATCTGAGACACCCTTTTGTAGATAATGGCTCTAGAAACAACATATTATAAAATCAACCCTCTCGGGGTATCCATGAAGAAGCTAATTTCAATTGAAAGTGGAAATTTCTTGTAAAATTTTGTAGACACAGTTAAAATTATAATTAATTACATAATTGTTGTATAATACTAACATTGCATTAATTTGAAAGAGTAATCTGTCAACTATCCATAAATACCACTTTTATAAATTTTCAAGCATTAAAAAGAAAGTTACAGCATTTTAAAACTGGGGAGTTGGATGTATAAAATCTTTGTATTGTGCTACCTTAAGTGTAGAAAAACTAATAAAATAAAAGTCCTGGCCTTTCGATCAGAAAACTTTAATTAGAACTCGAAGTACAAAATTTGTACTCGAAACATTACATTTCTTTTTTTTTATTGATTGATAATCGTACTCGAAACCATTATGCAAGTCCTGGCATAAGAAAATGAATAAATAGTAAATTGTCATGTAGTAATATCTTCTTTTTATTGACACTTTTGATCTATGATAAATAATTCAACATTTAATTAATTTTTTTACCGATATGTTGTTTTTTTAGCCCATAAATTTAGATGGAAAAAACCCTATTAACTGATTGATGCTTTACAATGCCATGTTTACTTGAATTAAAAACGATTGAGAACTAAGTAAAACAATACGTTTAACCCTGACATGTATTAATTTGCCACTTCCATGGCCTGCACCTCGTCAATAGCTTTCATTGCTTAATTGATTAGGATTTTGTCAAAGAAAGTATTTGGTATCAATTACAAATCGTTTATGATCTCCTTTATAACAAACTTTTTTTTCCATTCCAAACGAGTTAGATCCCGAAATTGGTAAAACCACTATTATAATACCTGACGACCTTATGTTGAATTTTAAATATTTTTTTCTTGTTTTATTGTATTGTTTAGGTTAATTTCTCACTTATGCAATTCCATATTCCCTTTAAACGACTTTCCGTTTATTTTTTTGTGTTTTAACTTTATATTTTTTGCATAAAAGTAAAAAACAAAGTTATATTAATCAAGTTTTGTTATCTACATGTATGTGCAAAAGCATTTTATAGAAAAGATTTTTTGCTTGTGCCACTGGCTGCACATGTTTGAAACAGTTCTTACAGTATACTTTCGCTATCGATTTTATCCTCGTTTCTATATACATGTACATCTTATGACGTATGTATATAGAATAAGGACATTTTTTTGTTTTTTTCATACTGACGTTATCAGCAAGAATATCGTTATTTTTGGTTTAGAATATGAAATAACAAGAAATAGTAAGTAAATAAACTCATCATAGATATCAGGATAAAATTTTGTACGCCAGATGAGCGTTTTGTCTACAAAAGACTGATCAGATACGCTCGAATTAAAAAAGTTAAAAAGGCCATATGAAGTACGAAATTGAAGATCATTTAGGACCCAAAATTCCTAAAGGTTTTGCCAAATACAGCTAAGGTAATCTATTCCTAGTAAAAAAAAAATTACGCGTACAAAAAGTTGCGATAGTTGTTCCATTGTATAAATGCAGCTGTATACGTTTCATTGATAAATTGACGCGGATGAAGATGACATTACTGCATGCAGTGTTACGTAACGTCATTTCCTTATTTTGCCGAGTATCACGTCCTTTCCATGATTTACAAAATATTAGGCAGTAGGATCAAAACGAAAATGTTCAAATTGCCGACAAATCACACCATCAGATTAACGATGATGTTTTTGGGTCTACATATTTTCAAAGTCAAATCATGAACAATGATTGAATGTTACAGCCACCAGTGATAACAAGTCTGTCTACAAGCAGTTCCACCACTATATCTGAAGACTTAACAGCAGAAACGTTATTGCATACCCTTATCGTAACGGACTCAACGCCTACTACGTGCCAGCTTGATTCCACTGGAGTTCCATTTGAAATCAAAACTATATCTGGCAGCACGAGTAAGTTTGTACTTCATTGCTGTTCACTGTTAACATTTACAAAAAGAAAGACCATATTAAACTGCATGATAATTCTACTTAAAATTTTCTTAGAAAAGCTTTTGCCGATTGTGTGAGCATCATGTGTGGAAGGATAACATTGTTTTCCCCTCCTAAAACCTAGTATTTTTGTTGTTATAAGATGTCGACGTACATATATACAAGTATTTTAAACACAAAGACTTCCCAATCTGTATTTTCTAAACCTTGATTTACTAAAACTGGAATTATCACTACTGGTTCCCTCTTCATTCAAAAGTGGCTCCTGTGTTTATTCAACATCGTGTTACACTGTGCGTCATTTATTGCATATCTATTTACAAATTAAAAATTAAGATTCCATGTCGTTATTAAAAAAAGTATAATCGGATAAACATACGTATTTTTTCCATTACTGCTGGACACCAATGATCACATGACTCTCTTCCTCTTCCTATATTCATGAATCTTTTGCTTTCAAAATGTTAGACTATAAGCGTCCTTATAATGATTTCAAAATATTATATAGAAATAAGATAATATATTATGAATGCCAATGGAATAACTATCCACCACAGAACAAAGTACGAGGATATAAATAACTATAGGTTTATGTGAGGCCTTCAATGATGATCAAATGGAACAAATTCAGTCAAAGTTTTACAGTACCGATATTCTATGGATTTTCACCAATATATACAGATATATATATATTATTATATACCTTTTGTTATGTATGTCTTTAGATTATGGCATATTCTTGACTGCCGGTGCATCCATGGATTACGACACACAAAATGCATATGTCCTGGATTTATCTTGCACTGATTCTTATGACGTCACAACGGGCGTTTATACTGTGTACCTTGTAAGAAATGAGGCAAGTAAATTACTTATTGTGTTTTTAATATTCAACATTTTATTAATTGAAGTAAATACAATTTTGTATTTACATAATTCTAGAAAATCATGTAAATTGTGGAAGGAGAAACGGAGTAAGAGAGGTGAAAGATAGCAAAGGGACAATCAAAATATATAAATCGAAGAGGGGCGTAAAGGGGGGGGGGGGTATCTGCACGGAAGAACGCGAAATAAAATTGCCATTTCACGATGAAAGAACAATTAAAACTTTCTTGCACGTTGATCTTTTTACTGAATTCACGAAACACGGTGAATAACGAACCTTTTTCACGGCTGCACGTGAAATAAAAATGGCAAAACACGTTGCACGAAAATAACCCTTTACCACCCTCATCGAAGGTTAACCAACAAAACCATGGTAAAAAACGACGATAAGAAAAACAAGTCTACAAAACTACTACATAAAAAAACCAAAGAGTCAGCAACACAAATACCACCAAATACAAGGGGTTTTCTCATGTCTTGCAGAAGGATTAGCAGTTATAAAGCTTTTTCTATAGAACCACAGGCACTTGTCCTTGAAAAAAATACCTATATACTTTAAACAAAAAATGTCAGAAACAAGTGCCTGTGTATAGAATATACAAATTCTAAACTGGGTGACAGTAGTCGTCGTTGTTCAGCTAAGGAGAAAAATGCTTTAGCAATTGTGGATTTGGTTTTTGAATTATTCATACCACAGTTGATAAAATCGCACCATTTTGAAAAATAAAAGTCGTAAATCTTGAATCAGGTCATTAGGGGGAAAAGGAATCGACAAGGCCCCAAATTCTAGCTCTGTTGGGTAGCTATGTATTTATGAGAAGAAAGTTGTATTATAAATTCATCAAACTGTCCTATGTTCACGTAACATTTAAGCCCCTTTTCGTGGCATGTTGGGTTTCTAGAGGTTGGCATACATTAAATTTTGCGTGAGAGATATGTGCTGTCGTGATTTTGTTGGGCGGTCCGATTACTCTAGCTCATTGGCAATTGACAATTGACCCATACCAAAACATCAAGGGGGAGTGAACTATCGTGTACCGGAATGTAGCGTTGCTTGCTTTACTAGTGGCACCTGTTCTGTTGCTCATGACTGGTGTAAGACGCTGATAAGTAGTTTAAGATGATAGTACACTTATAATATATACCAGGATTACCATTGTGTACGCCAGACGCCAGTTTCGTCTACAAAAGACCCACCAGTGACACTCGAATAAAACAAGTTAAAAAGACCAAATAAAATACGTAGTTGAAGAGCATTGAGGACCCAAAATCCCGAAAGGTTATGCCAAATACAGCTAATGTATACTATTCCTTGGGTAGCAAATTCGTAAAATAATTTCGAAATATTCAACGTTTTGTAAACAGTTGATTTATTATTATGACCATATCAATGATAATAATGATAGGTGATGATATTTACATACTTTCATGTTTGTTTGAATACAAATTTAAGGATACATAATCGGATGATTTAATGCTTATAAATAATTAGATAAATGTTTTCATTTTCATTAAAAGATTGTGATCTTGAATGTAACATAACATAATAATGTAGCAGTGTGATTTTCCATATAAAAGTGTTCATACAAACGACGGTGCGTTGCTTGTTCCGCCTTATGCTCCACAAAACCTCTTTCAAAATTAATAACATCCATTTTTTCAGCTGCCAAAACTGGACCTTGGAGTTCTGATACACCACTTACCCTTAGGTCGGTGTATATCAAATGTGGAGACTAAAAACTCAAATGTGTTTTAGAGAACATACAGTCTTAGACCTATTCTACGTGCAATAGAATAAACACACATTTTATTACTCTGTCATATTTACAAGTATTTCCCATTCTAATCTTAAAAAGCAGATTGTAAGAATTTTTCAAACAGTGTTTTATGAAAATGTAGAAACAAACACCTTAAGCTTGTTCAACGAAGGGAAAACTAGTCCTTATACAATCTGATTCAAACAAAATTAAAGCTGTCCGAAACTGACATCATCAAGATGCTTTATTTCTTCTATTGTCAAAATATTCGTTTCGCTTGGTAGACTTGTTTTCCAAAACCTTTTCCCTTTTGAAGATATCATTGAATACGACTTATCAGCGGATCTTTTACTGGCATCATCAACATTAAAAGAGGCACCACTTCTTCGAGATTACCATCAATTAACTGTTACTTTTTTCTAGCCTCCAACAATAAACGGACTACCAAGAGCTACCGATATACAAGAGGATGTTGTTGTTGAGACAACACTCTACACATTATCTGTAACAGACCCAGAAAGTACTGTTGTGACATGTGATGTCACAGCAATTACTCCAAATACAAATATTATGTTCATCAAGCCATCGTCAAACTTTAATGGTAAGTACCGAAACTAAAAGTATAAGAAATGGCAATGGAAAAGTCTACAGCTATCACTATACGTGTATATGTCGCAAGGATAAAAACAACCATATGAAATAGTGTTCTGCTGAAACGGCTTTCCATTCTTCTTATATCATCTGATTAGTTCTTCAGTAAATTTTTCCTCGCGGGGTTATGACGTCCTAATGATTTTGAATAACGTAATCAAGTTTCACTATAACAATAAGTTAACTTAAGTTTGTGAATTATATTAAGGTCTATCAACAAACATACACGTTGAACATGGTATTAAAAACCAAATATTTGTCTAATATCGTGAACCGTAGTTGAAAAAGGGAAAATCAGCAAAACTTTTCGGTAATCAAGATATTTGTAAATCATTAAGACTGTCAGACGATTCCTTATTTGAGGTATTGCTCTTTAATGATGATTTTATGATTTCATAAGTCTTTATGAAAATGTGGGTGTTATATAATTTGGACATAGCCGATTGATTGGTGGAGAAGGGAATATATAAAAAAAAATACAATTACCCTGATTTTTTTTTGTTAACAACAGTTTGACATATACTTGCCATGGGAGTGCTTCTGGCTCCGTGGTGTAAATATGAAACATTTTTTCTCTCATTTCACATCGAACAGTTTTAGAATTTGAGCTGTTTTTGAATAACTCAAATTTTTGTTATTTACATCAACTATAATGAATTAAAATCCTACGATTTATCCACGAATGTCAAAGATTTCATTCCTTGTGCTTTCTGCGAAACACATCAACTAGATTTACAATTTCTTTCCAGTGCAAAGACTTAGAGTCATTTCCTATGTACACGTACGGAAATGTTCATTATATTTTCTCCCTCCGGCACACAATGTTTTACTATGAGAGGTAATAACTGACGAACTTAATGTAAGTCATTGAAACGTAAAATGTGGGTCACAGTGACATTCTGCTAGGAGAGACTGCGCTGCAGATGCAACCTTGCACCCTTATGTATGCTTGTATCTAACATATATAATATCATAGTTTAATACTGAAATTCATAAAAATTCCGGCAGCTGAACCGTCTTATGGTAAATGGACAGTTTCTAAATGATATATGTGCATACTTAACGATGTGGTTGACATCTTTTCGTTTCTTATAACCTGATGTAGATGCATACGCGCACACTGACGAAACGACGGTAGTTCTCGAATAATCCTTCGCAGCCTGATGACATGAAATACTGATTTCTGGTACATTTATATAAAACATTCTCGCATATATAGGTTATATAAAATTGTATTCTGAAACGTGAATAATATTTCATTAAAACCTTTGAATATATTATCAAAATAAATCATTTTCCCTCAAATAGATTTTCTCGCATCTTCAAAGAAGAAAATTGTTTGCAAGCATTGTTGGAGTATCATCTGATTTCGTCTGTTTAATATAATTTTTTTGTTTAATTATTCTAAAGAGGTATTTGTTCAACATAATCTTTTTTGCAGAATTTGACATAGTTTTGCAGTCAAACCCTAACCTCCAATATGACGTGGTAAGGACTTACAGACTTGATATTCAGTGTACTGATGGTCGGCGTTCAGATTCCGGTGTCTTTTTTATGAATGTGTTACGTAACAAACCACCTGTGTTTTTGAATCTTCAGAGTAAGATAATTATTTTATTTATGTCTTATGTACTTGCTTATGTGTTACATGGATAAATTATGTTGGTGTTCCATAATAGTTGAGACAACATGGACAAGGAGTTTTGTAATTCCTTTTTTGTGAAAAAAAATAAAATTGAGCTTTTACTTTTAAAAAAGTTTTTTATGATTTTCCTTATATTGTGTAAACTGGTTGTTCGTTTTTTTTTCATACATCGTATAAGGCAAACATAAATTTCCCAGTTTACAAAACAGAAAACATAAACTGTCTTTATGAAAAAGTGAAAGGCAAAAGATACTTAAGGGATATCTCATAAGTATAAAACAAACCGACAATGCCATGGCAAAAAAACGAAAAAAGACCATTATACAAGCAACAGTAAACAAAACACAGCAAAGAAAACTAAAGAATGAGCAACACGAACCCCCCAAAAAACCAGGGATGATCTCTCAGGTGTTCGGGAAGGGTAGGCAGATCCTGCGCCACATGTAACGTCAAAAAATTATCTTTATGTATTCTTATGTTTCTAGATACATTTGTTGTGCTAAAGTCTTGAATATCAGTTTCTTTTCTGTTACTGTGCTATTATGGCATTTTTAAAGCTGATTTGATCCAACTTATATTTACAGATGTAACAACGGTGTCGAGTGTCGCATCTTATATTGGACAGATTGTCTTTGACGTTGAGATATCTGACCCAGAAAATGACCAAGTCCAGTTTTCTATGTTTTGTGTACCGTCAACCAACTGTCCGTTTGAAATATATCATTGTATGATTAATTCTTACATATAACCTCAATAAGCTATAGCATGCACAGTCTGCAAAACTCTTTTTAGTAAATTATATTTCACCTATTAAACAAATCTGAAAGCAATTACCAAAACTAAATCTTATAGCAATTTTAAAAACAATTCTATTTAAATAATTTTACAGATAATATTATTTTAAGTCAAAAGTGAGTTGTGTCTGTAAGTTAGTTATATATTCTATTTTTATGCTACGTTGTTACTTGGAGGACCTTCACTCAAATAGGGAATTTTTGAAGAAAAGTTTACATTAAATTTGCGTCATATGAAACCACGAAAAGCAACAAAATTCATAAGCTAATAGCGAACAAACATTTTTCAACATGAAAAAAAAATTATCAGCGCCAGTTGTTTAAATTTCATAGTCTTCTCAAAACACAGTGTAACATCTGAAACACTATACGTCTGCATTCATGTTCTTTTTTATATCTTTGAAGCTGGTGAAATAGTCCTCACGCGGTCCATAGAAGGTGAATTTGTACCAGCCTATGATTTATATGTTTATGTGACCGACGGAAAGTCGACAACAGGACCTAGGTCATTGACAGTTCATATCCTAGGTAATATTAGTATGAGTTAAATATAAAAGTCTTATATTAGTATTTAGATGTTCACCACCTGGAAAGTTCTAATGAGTTTGATAGCAATTATTAATTCACATGGACATAATGGATATCATCACGAGAAATATAATAAATGTATCGTAATTCATGGAATCAAGATTTTGAAAGTAACCTTCAGTCTCAATAGATATATTTCTAGATGTATGATGTAATTATAGTACTAACAAACAATTTTTATTTTAAGATGAAAATAGTAAAACTTAATTTGAGCTTTGACACTGGCGACTGGGATCGTTATGTCTTTTTCTCAACTAATTATTGTGCCACAAATAAAAACTGTTTAGAAAATGTAGAATGTTTTTGAAGTTTACCAAAATATGTAATAATATTCTACTTTACGTTTTTATGTTTCTTATTTTTTATATTTCAGATATCAATTATGTTCCAGTAATTAAGAACCTACCCCTTCCTTCTGCTTTAGTAGTCTCTGAAAATTCTGCTGTAGGTTTGAGTATATTCCAAGTATCCATACAAGACAACGACGGGCACGATACACATACATACTCTATGACTTCTTCGCCGTCTGATGGAGTCTTGTATTTTGATATTGATTCTGCAAGTAAGTTTTGAATTAACCATCAGTGGATATAGATTATTTATTGTAATGACTCGCTTACATAGTAGGGCATTATGGTTGTTTGGTTGTTTTTTTTTGTCTGTGCGTCCGTCCGTCTAGCATCAGGTTACATTTTTTGTTTAAGGTAGTCTACTGTGAAGTTGTGGGTACCCCGACTTGGGGCTTACTACATATGTTTATAATGATGTGAAATTCTGAAAATATATGTCAAAGAGAGGCGAAAGATATCAAAGGGATATTCAAACTCATATGTCAAAATTATCCTAATCATGGCAAAAAAAGAAAAAGACCGAAGGGATATTCAAACTCATGAGTCGAATTTATACTAAGCATGGCAAAAAAAAAAGAAAAGAAAAAGACCAAAAAACAAACAAAAGTATACAAAATACAACATCGAGAAAAAAAGACTGAGCAACATGGACCCCAACAAAATCTCAGGTGCTCCGAAAGGGTAAGCACATCCTACTCCACATGTGGCACCCGTCGTGTTGCTACAATCCCGGTCTAATTCGGTAGGTCATATTCGGGGAAAATGAAGACGGGGTTGTGGTAACGAAGATTGGAACATATCCGTCGTCATTTGTGAAACAAATATTCCATAACCAGAGTTTTAATAGCGGTTAACCGCACACGGAAATGGTGGAAGTATGAATATATTGTGATGACCTGATTAATGATAGGTTGTTGGTGTTTAACGCCACTTTCAGCACTATTTGGCAATTGCTGGTCCGGGTACACAGTTATCGTCCTTTGATACGAATTTGGTCCCTAGTGTGGACAGTGTGTTACTTGTCGATTTTTTTTATACCCCTTCCAAATTTATTTCTCCATGTTTTATGACTCAAATAGTAAGTAGGGGGGTGAAATGACACTGTAAAAAAAATTGGGTCATGAATTTTAAAGTAAAGTAGTGATTTGGTCCAGCTGAAAAATGTTAAAAATTAGCACTTCGGAAGCTGTCAAAAGATTTGAAGACCCCCTTAACATGAAATTGTCCATATTTTGAGTTAGAGCCGATGAAGTTTTCTATAATTTTGATATAATTTGTCCCAAAAGTAGTACAACACACTGTAAAAATATAATTGAGAAAGCGCAGGTGGGATTTTTTTAATTTTCATTTATTGTCTAAAAGAAATGCACTACGAAATAACTGTGTACTCGCCCTAAGAGGTGAAATCAGGAAATATAGAATTTGTACTTTGGCAACTTCCCTGAATGATTTGATGGTGTCAATTTATCAAATAGCATAAAACTAAAGGATTTAAACTTTTATTTGATAGAATTTCTGCAAAAATAACCAATTTTGGCATTTTATGGTCAAAATAAGCATTTCATAGCTTTTTCAATTTTGATGCATAAGTGGCATTCTGACTTTCTATCTGACAGGTTTTTATGTGTCAATATTTGTGTTTCTATGCTTCAATCCAGTTGTATTACTCATTTGTGAACTCTGAATCTACAGAAAAGAAGATTATCTCGGACAATATGTGCAAAATGTGTTGTATCTATGATCCTCGTCTAACGCCCTGTTTGGATCAAGTTAAATGTGAGGAGCTTGGAACATAAAAGTTGAAGTCTATTATAAAGACCTCACTAAATTTGTATAAAAAGCACTTAACATGGTTTTTTGTACCTGTTTTATGCCACATTATATCTTTCTTTTCTTCTGTAGGATAGCAAGTGGTTCAAATATAAGCCTTTTGAGACTAAAATTGCATGCATGTTTTTCACTAAAAAGTGAAAAATCTTTGTATCAGATCATACTGTCTGCAAAAAAAGTTGAATGCAAGAGTCTTTTTGTGCTCAGATTTATTGTATCATGTCACCTGAGTATAGAAATGATAGAAAAGACACAAAATTTTATTTCCTATAGCTTCAATATGCATTTGTAAATGTAAATATGTGATACGGCCTAAATTGACCCTAAATTATTTTCAGTCTTACTTGGCCTAAGACCCTTTTAAACTAATGTGATATGTTATTTGTCAGATTTCTTTCCATTTAAAGTACATTAAATACATATGTAAGGATTATTTATAAACAAAAAGCTTTACAAATTTAAAATTGCTGGAAAATATTACATCTTCATGTAAGGCCCCCCTTCATTGGAAAACCTCCATTTTTAGCCACAGACTCATATAAATTTGACTTTTTAATAATTATGATAAGTCTGATAAATCAAATGAGTACTCTATTGCTTTTAATACATAATATATTATATATTAAGGCATTTCAAAAGTATTTTTTTGCAATATTTTAATTTTTTAAGCCCCAAATGTTGATAGTTGAAAATTTTCAATTTTAACGTCTAAATTTAACACGCAAAGTTGAATATAGAATTAGTCATGTTGTCTATAACATGTATCCTATTGCCATGAAACTTTGTAAGCAGTCTTATTATTTAATAAGCTTTGGTCATACCAAGTTTCATTAAGATTGGTCAACTTTTTCTACCCTATTAGGTCCGGGTACACAGTTATCGTCCTTTGATTTTCGTTGTCCACGAATATAGTCCCTAGTGTGGACAGTGTGTTACTTGTCGATTTTTTTTATACCCCTTCCAAATTTATTTCTCCATGTTTTATGACCTTTAATAGTAAGTAGGGAGGTGAATTGACACTGTAAAAAAAATTGGGTCATGAATTTTAAAGTAAAGTAGTGATTTGGTCCAGCTGAAAAATGTAAAAAATTAGCACTTCGGAAGCTGTCAAAAGATTTGAAGACCCCCTTAACATGAAATTGTCCATATTTTGAGTTAGAGCCGATGAAGTTTTCTATAATTTTGATATAATTTGTCCCAAAAGTAGTACAACACACTGTAAAAATATTATTGAGAAAGCGCAGGTGGGATTTTTTTAATTTTCATTTATTGTCTAAAAGAAATGCACTACGAAATAACTGTGTACTCGGACCTAAGATGATCAGTTTTTCTATTTAAAGTAATTACATATAGAAAATGAAAGGATATGGAGTAAATGTACATGGGACAAAATCGCACACAATACATAGAAAACATAGAAAATTATCAATGAACAGGGCTTTTATAGACATACATCTATTAAAGTTTTCAAGAAAAAAGACAAAAAATGAACAAAATTGGAAAACACTTGCACCTTCATTGTAATGCCGTTTATCCGTTCATATTTGACAAATGCAATGCCAGTTAGGCTAAATTTGATGAGATAATAACATTACATAATTCCTTTTAGCCTTTTGTGATGCAATATTTAGTTTTTATTTTTATTTACAAACAACTGTAAGCTGGGCTATTCAGTACCTCTGCCACAACAAATATCAATTATGAAGCCGTATCATCAACATCGTTTACTTTTACAATAACAGTGTCCGACACAAAGGACTCGGCATCTCAGAACCTTACAGTCACCATAGCTAACCAAAACGAGGCTCCAGTGTTTACGAAAACATCTTATGTACTTAGTGTTGATGAAGGTCCGGTATGTATTGGGAAAAAAAATCACATGTGAGATAAACATTTGCACAAGATGTTTTAAAAATTATGATAATATAAAAACTCTATCGATAAGGTTTGAGTGCAAAAAATAACACTTTATCTTTTTGCGTGGGTCTATTAGTTTTTTCTGGATATATCTTCACCAGGAACGCTCAAAACTATATATTTTAAAGACAGGGATGTATAAATACGTTAACTCGTAGTAATATGACCGAAATGGGCAAACAAAATAACCTAATTTTTCAAAGGTTATTGAGAGAATTTGAGTCTCAGTTTTTTAATAATTTGTTAACTTATTAAGGATGTTCGCTCCTCTTGTTTTTGAATTTTAACAGATATTCGGAATCCTCTTGTTTTATCCATGTACATGTAGTGCCATTAAAAATTTTTCCCACAAACCTCTCATTTTTTTTTATAATACTATAACATATAGTTTAAAAAGCCATATTTGAAACTCTTATAAAATCCTTGTTATTTTTTTTTATAGTTGTTGGAAGAAAAATGGTGCCAATGTCAAATGTATGAAAAATCTAGAGAGAATCATTTCCCGCCATATTTTCAATGGCTTATATCTCGAAAACAAGCACACGGACCTTTCATTTTTTTCTGCTTTTTTAGTTTCTTTACTTATATACTACCGATCGATAATAGTCTTTTAAAAAGCTTGTTTTTTTAAACAGAGTACCAAACACCCTTTAAGGGTCATTTTTGAAATGTATGTTATGAATCATGTCAAAGCAATGACAACTGAGTTGATTATACCCGTGGGGATAGTAGTCTTTAACAGTTAGCAATTTTATTTTACACTTTCTCCTTTTAAAAGAAGGTTTTGCTTCGCTATCAAATGAGATCTTTCGACATAAGATGGTGAATATATATTTTACCACAGGAACAGTCTCTAAATAATCACAATGGCGAGAGAGCTATTCGGAAGATCGGTTGCTTCAATATATTTCATATACATTTTGTATTCTGAACACATATTTACAAAAAAAGAAATATTCAGTATAAAAACACAGTATAGACAGGCTTATAGTTGGTTAAAAAGAAATTTTCTAATGTAAATCATTTCATGCATTTATAATTCAAAATTTATTTTCTTTCAATTCGAAAGGCTGGAACCGTTTTAGGTGATCCTGGTTATTTGTACCAGGATGAGGATACTGGTGACACACATAAGTTTTCTATGAACTGTGCATCAAATGTGGGATACTTTTCGATAGCTCCAACAACAGGATTCATCAGCCTAGCTACGGATATTGACGTCGATGCTGCCGGCTCTGCAACATCGTATACCTGTACAGTTAAAGTGTCTGACAGTGCTTTAACCGATAGTGCGTCTTTAACCATTAATGTGAACAATATAAATGACAACACGCCAAGGTTTTCCAACAATTTGTTTACATATTACCTAGATATTAATTACCCTCTTAACACTGTGTTTGGTTCCACGGTGGCAACTGATGCCGATGCTGACACATTTGGTAAGTGTCATGTATAATTTATGATTTGATAGGATTCTAGGAAATGTATTTGTCAAGAAAGTGTATGCTGCAACAAATGACGAAAAGGTAACATTGATTCAAAAATTATTTAGAAATATTTGATTTGAATTTCCGGTTGATTGCTATTCATAACAACACCTACGAACTCAAATGATAATTCTAAACCATTGAACTTATAATATAATCAAGAAGAGTTCAAAGGGAATTTCTTACTTGACTTGTTCTCCTGTACTGTGTATGTAAAGGTTGCAAACGAACCAGTAGCTTTAGGTTTTTTAAGCTATTGGAATATGATTATGGTAATGTTTGCATGTTTCAGTATATTTCTGAATCTCACAACGGAAGTACTTGTAGTGGACTGTAGATTTCGGTTCTTGTTTCTTGTACAAATGGTTAAAAAGGGTATTCTTATCCTTATTACCAGAAAATACTATCGTTAGTTAACCTTCTGTTGAGGTATACAATAATTGGCATACAAAAACTATCAATTATTTAATGGTAAACAAAATGATAATCATATAACATGTCTGACGAAAGATTTAAATCCATTTTTATTTTTTAAAGTCAGTTAAAATTATTTATAATGTAATACAGTTTCGATTATTTTTGAAAGAGTTAAAATTGCACCAAGTGAACGTTGTACTATTTATTTTTTAATGAAAATAGTTCAAGAATGACTATTGAGTCCATCATTGTTTCTTTACAACTCTAAATTCTGTACAGTTATCAAGCATTGATCGTTAGAATATTTGTATTATGTTGGTAAATACGCATTAGTTGAAGCTTATTTAACAGTCTTTTTTTTCAAATACAAAAAAAAACAAGATTGTAAAATGAAACAAAACAAACAAACAAATAGATTAATATTTCTATGCATATTTTGCGTTCTTTTACAGGAAATTTCATTTATAGCATTGACCAAACGTCTTTAGGAACAGAAACATTTGGAATTAAAGCAGATGGAGATTTGTACTTAAAGAATCCTTTAACAAGTTATGGTTATGGTTCAAGTATTAGCTTTACCGTTCAGGCAACAGATACCGGAAGTCTTCAAGGGACAGCTACAGTTTTCATCGTTATACCACAAACTACCACGACCACAACCACGACAACAGACCGACCTCTTACGTTTTGGGAATACCCAGCTAACCCAGCGTGGGTAATAGTTGCGGGTATTCTTGGACTGATAATTATGGTGTTGCCTTGTTACATGTGTTACAAAAACGGATGTTCTTGTGAATGGAGAGGAAGGTAAGTCAATTTTTATTTTAAGTTTAAAACACTGTTACAATGTAGTATTTAGCATTTTACGCTTATAAACCGTGTTCAATTGTTGTTTGGTAAAAATGCTTTATATGTTTAATGTAAGATTCATTTATTTCAAACATTAATATCAAGGCAACATAATTACAGAGGGAATCCAGATCGAACACCTGATTATGTCAAATTCAACGACGATTTCAAAAGAATGTACAACTAATGATATTCGTATATCTCATTTTGAAAACAATTCTGAAATTAATAATAGGGTCTATGATATACCCATTTCTAGAATAAAAAGTAAACTCCAAGTACTCGCAAAGCGGTTTGTGTTCGTACCGGCAGACAAAACAGCCAATAATGTAGTGGTTGTGTGACGCATATACTACACGGAAGTTCTCCAAAACGAAATAATCAATTCTTCTACATTCAGGTCCGTACGCTCCACAGAGAGTCAAATTGTAAACAAGCATGTCATTGCCACTACCCAGCTTAAAACCTCTTCCGATCATTTGAAGGTCTCGACTATGTACTGGTTAACTAAATTACACAGACAACCATTAAATTTTCGTTTCATCTCCGCATCTAGAAAGTGTTCTACTACTAATCTGTCAGTGCTGCTAACTACCTCCCTTACTACTATGAAAGAACTTGTTATTAACTTTTGTAATAAAGCTTATGAAAATAATGGTATTAATTATTTTTGGAATGTTAAAAATTCTTTAGAGGTTTAAGTTAAAATACATGCTTTAGATGGTCCTTTTAATTCTTTTGACAGTTATGATTTTTCTACTCTCTACACTACACCTCCACACAATCTTATCAAGAAAAAGTTTTCATATTTAATTAAATGGTCTTTTGAAAAATCTCATTGCAAATTTATTTGCTGTAACTCGCTGAAAGTCTTTTTCTGTAACGAAAAAGGAAAGTATGCTAGATGCACTTGCTAGAAATGTGAAGATATGATTGAAGCTTTAAATGTTTTCCGGGACAACATATATGTACGTTTCGGCGATAAAGTGTATCGACAGATAGTAGGTATTCCTATGTGCACTAATTGCGCCCCTTTAATAGTAGATTTATTCCTGTATTGCTATGAATCTCAGTTTATGACCAAACTCAGTAAAGACACGTCATTGGTACATTTGGTTGATACATTCAACAATACCTACCGTTATCTTGATGATATTTTTCGTTAAATAATCCAGGCCAGAGTTTTCTAAATATACTACCGAAATTTACCCAAAGAAACTTACTTTAAATATATCTAACATAAACAGCAGTAGTTGTCCTTTTCTAGATTTAGACATTCAATTTCTAAAGGGAAACTCCATACTAAAATTTACGACAAAAGAGAATATTTTTTCATTCCCTATTGTTAATTTTCCTTTTTTAGACGGCGATGTTCCCTTTGTCTCCATCATACGGTGTTTATAAATCCCAACTCGTTCGATATGCCCGTGTGTGTAGTGATGTCATAGATTTAAACGAATGTAATCAATGCATCACTGGTAAATTATAAAGTCAGGGATTTCTTTACCATAAATTACTTAAAACTTTTACTAAATTCTTTCATAGATACAAAGATGTGATAAGTAAATTTGGCTGTACATGTAGAAAACTTATTAAAAGCGGTATTTCACATCCTAAATTTTACGGTAATATTGTACTGAAAGCGCGGAAATCACTATGTGATCGGAGTAAACTCATCGAACCTTTAAACAAACTTATTAGTAAAGGTTATCTTATCAATGTTGTAATTATATCTTTGAAAATTGCTTTTATTGGTACAAATATCGATTTTGTCATCAACAAATTAAAATAAAACTAAATTCGTATTCTTTTCAAATGTTTTTTTTTGTGATGTATAAATGCACATCCACGTTCATTTTCTATATAGAGATTACTTTATCTATATATAACAGTATACATATTTATTAAAAGGTTAAATCCTAACTATCCTACTGCCTGTCGGTACTTTTAGTTTGGCATTGCACAGGTCATGTCTTTTTTAACTGTCCATGACGTTAAAACACTAAATCCCTGGGATGTATTTTAGTTGATTTTAGTCTCTGATGCATGATTTTTTTATATTATTAATTGTTTTTGGCTTTAAACTAGCTTTCAGTAACTGCGAGTACTCTCAAATCGTACTTTCGTGTTAATTTGACCTGTTGATACAATTTGTAATGCATTTTTGTTATTCAATGTTTACTTTTTTGTGTTATATCTCGTTTTACTATTTTTAATATATACTACCTTTGTTAAGTATTTAGTATGACGATTAATTTTCACTTCCGTTCTCGTACTATGAACAACAAATTTATGTATTTTGTAAAAAATATTTCTCATGTGTATACCCTGTACTCCTTATAACAAAATTATTTTTATATACCCGTGTACGTTATTCTACTTTTCGGCATTTTGTCCACGGTCATAGTTGTTTTTCTGATTTTATTGTACACCCCACCTTTTTTTTTTTTATTAATTTTGTATTTACATTGTGTTATAGATCAAATTTATTAGTTCAGTGTATGTTTTCTTGTTTTTGTTAATATATCTTTTGATCGAGTTAAGCCATTTCAATTGATATTTTGTAATGTGTCTCTCTATGTTGTGATGTTACACTCCTATTTCATGTTAGGTTGAATGTTGGCGCCTGTTAAAACGTTTAAACCCGCTGCATTTGTTTGCACCTGTACTAAATCAGGAACTTCTTGTTCTGTGGTTGTCGTTTGTTGATGTGGTTTCCTGTTTCTCGTTTTTTATATAGATTAGACCGTTGATTTTCCTGTTTGAATGGTTTAACAGTAGTCATTTTTGGGGCCCTTTATAGCTTGCTGTTCGGTGTGAGCCAAGGCTCCGTGTTGGAGGCCGTACTTTGACCTATAATGGTTTGCTTTTACATATTGTGACTTGGATGGAAATTTATCTCATTGGCACTCATACCACATTTTCTTATATCTATTGACATTATAATGTTGTATTTTGATTTGCTAAAGAAAAACACAATATTAAAACAAGTAATTTTCCTAGTAACAAATTATTGACATGTTCCGTTACATTGACTCACATCCTATATAGTAATTATTAATGTTGAAAATTCTAGAAATTTCCCAGATTGTAGTAAAATTTGAACTCTCTAAATGCTTAAAATCTTTGTTTATTAAAGTCGACAATGTTATAATGTTTATAAGCTCTTCATCCTTTGAAAGCTTTAGATTTTCAAATATTTAGGCTTCGAGCATCACTGAAATGACATTTATAATCGAAATGCGCATCTGGTGCAAGTAAAATTGGTACCGTTTATGTTATTGCTACCACTGCTGAAGGACTGTTAGTTCCCGAGTGTAGCAAAAGCCCAGTTGCCATTACCTCGGTACTGGCATGAAAATACGGATAATGTGTCATTAAAATTTGCTGTTACAAAATTTTTAAAATTATTTGAAATTAAGGAATATATCTTCCTCATGCAATGCTCTGATTCTTTGTCCAGTATTGACTAACTTTTTCTGTTTTTTTTTTTTTTTTGGTTTATAAGCTCTACATCTTTTGAATTAGTTTTAGATTTTCAAATATGTAGATCATTACTGAAGAAAAATGTATTGTCGAAATGCGCATCTGGTGCAGTAAAAATGGTACCATTGATATTATGGCTATTTTTCAAAATTTTCCATACAAATAGATTAAGCTTGAGCCTCCTCCCTTCAACACATGTAAAGCATAAGTACAATTGCCATGTAGTTTTCTTTGTAATAATGCATTACATGCTAAATTTAACTGATTTCGTTTTTAAAAATGTGGTGAAGAATTCGCATTACTGCAATAATCATCAGGTATAAATTGACATGAAAGAATAAAGAATCTAGTTATATGATGATGCATGCATATCTGAAATTCAAGGTTCAGATGATTATATTTCAACATTTCAATTTTGGGGTACCAATCAGGGGTAATTGTAATCATTAATCAGCTGTAATCGTTTACAATTTTTCAAGTTATCATTGTAACCATCAATCAGCAAAAAATCTGAATACATGCAATTTGTTCCAAATTACCTTGTAATCCTGATTACGTTTTGATAACATTCTGATTAAAACAAAAAAATCTTAAATTGTGTTAATTGTCAATATATCATGTCTTAAATGAACATTTTTACTATTCATGTTTAATAAATATACAACTTGTTAAAATAGTTTTGTTTACATTAAGCATGTTAAGATATTATGAAATATTGATATATATGTAATTAGATACCAACAAAATGTTATTTCAATGATTTTTTTAACCTTTATTCATTAACATCATTCAAATGGGTTATATCAAAATTCAGTGTAATCAGATTTAATAATGATTACTTACCAATGTAATCATTAATTTAATTAATTACTTTGATAAATGGTGTAATCATTAATTCAATTTAATCTTACAATTGATAAAGTAATTGTAATTTAATCAATTACATTGAATGTATTCAGACCCATCTCTGGTACCAATATATATTTTTTTCAGACCTAGTGACTATCACGAAAGACTTCAAGAAACATCTGAAAGTATGTAGAAAGTTAATGAATTTCTAAGATTGGGAAAAGTATTATATTATAATGTGTAGAACTCAAAGATCATTGTCAACCTTTGTACAGATCATCTTTATTTTTGGGATGTTTTGTTCAAGAAGCACACCGTTTTACTACCAAAAGAAATCATCAACATTACATTCTGTGAATAAGTGAAAATGTTCATCTCATACTTGTAGATCAAATGTTGACAAATGCAAATGATAAATGATCAAATCTTTAATTCTTTACTACTCTTAGATAGCCACACACAAATAAATATATATCAAGTCAGGATTATGACAGCTGTTTTCCATTTGTTCCGTTTGTTGGTATTGTCGAGCGTTTAATTTTGTAAGGTTTTATGGACTTCTAGTTCGGTATTTGTGTAAATACTGTTTTATAATGATACTTTCGATAATTTGTAAAGGTAAAACAAAAAGAACAAGCTATAATGGTAAAAGACTGTCTCTATCATTACCTTCCTTTGTACATTTCGAATATCAATATATGATGATATTAAGATGTACATAAAATGTGCATCATTATAAGCATAAAAGCTAAATGCTAACTTAACAGTGGTTAATTGAAAAATAGCTGGCATTAATCTTGTATTGATGTTATTGAATATTTCAGTAAACCAGAAAAAAGACAAACAACCAAAAGGTTATTCTAATGGAAGTTGGAATGCATGGAAATGGTATGAGCAGTAATAAATACAATGCTTACAGGGATATAAAAATAGTAGAAACAGTAAAGTTAAAGATAGGTAAAAATGAATTTAAAATGCTACCTAAAATATGTTAATTGTTTTCTGTATCCTGAGAAAAAATGGAAACTTCAACTGTTGTAAAAACAGTTATTAGATTTTTTATGCTGTCTTTTATTTTTTTTTTATTAAATTACTATTCATTATCATTAAAATTATTCGAAATACTAATGTTTTTTTTTTTCATCCATAGGGAAAGATTGCTTTATCCAGATTTCACTTTTTTTTTTTAATGTTTTGGTTTACAACGCTTTTCAACTTTCTAACGAATTTGAGATCCCAACTGTTTTCATTCGAGCTCCTCTATTGAATTTTGTGTAGACTTCAAGCGCACCATACTAGGTGACTGAAGTATTTATATCAGTTGGAATATGATAATGTGTTGCAGAGAAAAGGTTTAATATAAAAATAATTAAACTACAACATAGTTTTTTGAAAAAGCATTACATACAAAAGTGTTAAATATTGAATCTTGTATCACTTTACATAGAAAACCTAAAACTTTCGAAAGCAGTATATATAGTAAACAATGAAAGTCCATTTGTTTGAGAAGTCACTTTAACAAGTTCCAATTCAAACCTACGTTAACGACTCAAATATCCGTGAAATGCCCTGTAATAAGAGATTTTTTTTATTTATAAGTTGTTTGCCACTTTTATCTAAACAAAAATATGGATGAGGTATAATTGCCAATGCTACAACTATCCACCATAACATTTGTTTATTCCAGGCTAAATCAAACGTATCCATGAGAGCCAATTATTTGACAAAGAAGTATTTTACTTAATGAACGGACTTAATATCAATCTATTGTAAATCTGCGTTTTTATGCATTCATGTTGTCTATCAAATAAGAAAGGAAATAAAAATTAACGTTCCACTTCAGGAGGTGCAAATTGTCATTATTTGACTATATAAAAAAAGATTCTCAAGTAAACACTTAGTGTTCGTCGTAACAAAAAAAAGCCAACAAACATTGTCCCACGCATCGACAAAACCCTTGGATTTTGTTTAACTTTAGTCATTCTCAAGGTACAGACAGACTTTTGATATGAAACTGGTATTTAATGATTATTAATACGTATTGTATTTTAGCCACATGTACTTCAAAATTAATTTTAAAGTTCAAAATTACCTTACTACATTGTAAACATTGTCAGCTAAGAATTTTGAATGATACGCCAACTGATCAAAGATAAAAAAACTATTTTTAAATTGATTTTTAATTTGAAAGGAGTTTGAAAGTTTATGGTAAATATGACAAGACATCCGATGATATATTTTGACGTGAATATTCAAATTCTTCATAAAGACCAGATTAAAGTGTACTTCAACAAAAAAGTTAATTATATAGAAACCGATAATTATTTTTCACGTCAAATGATTTGTTGACAATAACATTCATGTGCAATCGCACAAAAATGTTAAATAAACTAGAGGCTCCAAGGAGCCTGTGTCGCTCATCTGATATTTTTGTTTACAATTGATGCATGAAATAATGCAAACATTATACTTTTGCTTTAGCTTCAGAGATATAAGCCAAAAACTGTATTTTACCCCTATGTTATATTTTTAGCCATGTAGGCCATGTTGGTTAGCAGGCGGTGTCATCGGACACATTTTTAAAACTAGATACCCTTTTGATGATTGTGGCCAAGTGTGGTTAAATTTGTCTCAGTAGTTTCAGAGTAGAAGATTTTTGTAAAAGATTACAAAAATTTACGAGAAAAATTATCAAAAATTGACTTTAAAGGGCAATAACTCGTTAAGGGGTTAATTGACAGTTTTAGTCATGTTGATTTATTTGTAGATCTTACTTTGCTGAACATTATTGCTACTTAATGTTTATCTCTATCTATAATAATATTCAAGATAATAACCAAAAACTGCATAATTTCCTTAAAATTTCTAATTCAAGGACAGCAACCCAACAACGGGTTGTCTGATACGTCTGAAAATTTTAAGGCAGATAGATCTAAACCTGATGAACATTTTTATTTTAAATGCTTTAGTTTCAGAGATATAAGCCAAAAACTGCATTTTACCCCTATGTTCTATTTTTAGCCATGGCGGCCATGTTGGTTGGCAGGCGGGGTCGTCGGACACATTTTTTAACTAGATACCCGAATGATGATTTTGGCCGAGTTTGGTTTAATTTGGCCCAGTAGTTTCAGAGGAGAAGATTTTTGTAAAAGTTAACGGACGACGACGACGGACGACGGACGCCAATTGATGAGAAAAGCTCACTTGGCCTTTCAAGCCAGGTGAGCTAAAAAATGAAATCAACGTGTTCTATTACTTGTGTGATGTAGTTTTCAATGGCTTTCAAAAAAAGTCACACGAATTAAAATTTAAATAACCTCAAAGGCTTTTCGCTAGATTTGGTGCAAGTTAAAAATTTCACAGGGATGAATCCGTTTATCTTGATAATCACTGATAATACGTTTAATCCATATCATTTCCATTACCAGAAATACTCTTTTATTGTACGTTGATTTCTCACGTCATTTAAACGTTTTATAGGCTAACTGGATCCCTGTAACTTTGAACTGATAAAGTAATTGTGATTGCTTGACATTTTTCAAACACTTGTCCTTATTCTTATGTACATAATCTAACCCTGCATAGTGAAATATCTTAATTTTACAGTTTAAAACAGTTATCGAAGCAGTCATAAATAAAGGCAACAATATTATACTGCTGTTCTAAAGTCATAAATTGATTGAGAGAAAACAAATCCGGGTTACAAACTAAAACTGAGGGAAACACATCAACTATAAGAAGAAGACAACGGAACAACAGAAACACTGAAGTGCAACACAAACAAACGCCATCATTCATAGAAACGAACTATTTGATAACAACTTCCATATTCCTGACTTGGTACACGACATTTTAAGAAAAAATGGTGGGTTGAACCTGGTTTTATGGCTAGCCAAACCTCCTGCTTGTATGGCAATGTTAACAAAATATCGCTAAAATGACAACACTGCGCGACAGAAATACAGCACAAACAAGCGTAAGAACACTCAGCACAGAGAAACTCATAAGGAGGTTATTAAAATATTCATCCCTTAGCTCGACGTACTGACGTAGATTTTATAATCAACAAACGTACAAATGAAAGGAGATTGAGATTAAACGGTCATGAGAAAACAACAAAATTTAAATTTTAAAAGAGAAAAACACATGTAGCGGTCAATATACGAATATACGGTATTCAACAACGAGTAAGTGTCTATACAGCATATCAAAGTCTAAGTCGTTCGAATTTCATTTATTTTGGACTTTAGGTCTATGAAAATATGACAAATTTAAACTCTTCTTTTTTTTAGATCTCAATACTCTCCCTTTTTTTTTAAATCGCGGTCAGTTGAGCAAATATCGGCGAATAAAAGAACAAACAATAAAAACCAATACCACTATAATGGGTTAGAAACACATGTATAATCAATACAATTTTAAACAAAACTGTAACAAAGAATGCTAGAAATTACTGAAAATAGGTTCAAAGTGCTCAAGCGGTGGAGAGGAAATAATGTCTTCCGTAATTAATTACTTATTATTTTGATCCGAGTGCCACTGATGAGTCTTATGTAGACAAAACGCCCGTCTGGAGCACCAAATGATAAACCTGGTTAATATTTGATGAGTCTTATGTAGACGAAATGCCCGTCTGGAGCACCAAATTATAAACCTGGTTAATCGTTGATGAGTCTTATGTAGAAAAAACGCCCGTCTGGAGCACCAAATTATAAACCTGGTAAATTTTTGAAGAGTTATTTCCTACACTCCAAGATCACGGCTGTACATCTTGTATTAAACAATGTCAATGAAATACAGGGAAAACATGATATTGTGTAATGCCAAAAATGAATTTTGAAAAACAAATATTACGAGAATAGATGAAATATTGTATTGTTGTTTCGAGCTACTTTTAGCCAGTTGATGTTCATCCCAATGAATGCCAGACGTATTATGACTCTACAGATTGCAGATGGAATCATAATTCGAGACATAAATCTACGCGTTTGGACCAATTTATTATACAAATTAGTTATGAAAATATTGTGTTGAGCAAAGTTTAAGACGACACTGTAAACGACAACATATCGATCAAGATGAAGAATGTATACTCAATAAAAAACATCACAATCATGGTAAGGACAATTAACAATAAGATAGGAAAAGTTGTTCCGTTTGTTTTGTTTTTTATAAGGTCTAGCCATAAATTGTGATTCATAACAGTAAATGATCAAATTTGCTATAAGAGGGATAGTTATTCCCCATCGGAATACTAATACCTATGATTTATCGGGTTGTATTTTGCATGAGAGAAACAAGTGTTCTCTTGGTTTCACCAGCAAACTAGAAGATGGCTCGATAAGTTGGGATCAAACTTATCAACGTCGGTTCATACATTATGACGTCGCTGATATGTTCGGGTCAAAGTTATAAAGGCCGGGTCAACGTATTTGACGTCACAAAGCCGTGATATGCAATTTTATTAAGAGCTGAGCAGTGTGATATAGATAGTGGGCGACCGATAAACATGTTTGTTTGCTGTTTGAAATATTAGTTTTTCGTTTGTTTTGTCATAAATCAAGTCGTTGGTTGTCGTTGGTTTTCTCGTTACAATTGTTTTTGATTTGGTCATTTCAAGGGCTTAATAGCTGATTTTACATAAAGTTGCTCACATACACGTCATTCGGACTCTGTTGGATAGTTATCTCATAGGCAATCAAAAAACATCTAAACTTTATATTACCAAATTTGTTTTTTTTTTGTAAGATAAGATTAGTACATGTCAGCTAGATTTACATGCGCATCTTAAAGTAAATAATATTTTTCCGTTTAATTCAAAAAGTGAATAACATATGGAATCAGATATTAGAATTTCTCTTCGATAGCTTTCGATTACGATCGCACGATCTGATGTCCACGAATAAATTGTTTGATGGGTAACTTGCATTTCATGTATTCACCCACCCAAACTGATATGTTTTTATTTAGGTACGTATATTCAATACATGATTCTAGACATAGAGACAGTTTTAAAAAAATTGATCTTCTCGATAATCTGAATGATCTATATTTAATACTAGGAAGTTTATCAATCTCAAGAACGTACTCTAATTCAAAGGATTTAATTTCGTAAAAACGAACG